TAGGATGCTGCTCACGTGTTGTGCTTCTGCACATACGCTAGTCAGATTGGGAAAAACTGGGGGCTAGGATTCAAGAGGTGGTGCTGAAAAGCAGGGGTCCCAAAAAGAAGTGATTTTGGAAAGAAGAAGGGAGCCCAGAAAGAAGAACGTCAAGATTTAGGCTGGAGGAAAGATCCTGGAAGCGGGGGAAGATCCTGGAGATCAGGGAGCTGCGTGGAGACAAATGCTGGGGGATGCCCAGGGACTTCGGCCAGTAACACGTGAGACAGGTAAGCGCGAGCAGTGGCACAGCACGAACTCACACCACTGTCTGCCCCATCTTCCCAGGCCAGCAGCGATCTCCCTGCCGGAGAGGGAAGTTGAGACAGTAAACGCAACGCTAGGGGCAGGGAGCGGGTGAAATAATCAAGTAGGAGGTAAAAGCTCTGATCTTTCTGGTCCTTAAATAAACTCCAGTATCCAGATCCACTATGGGTTGTCATTTACTCTCCCATAAAGAGAGCCTGTGACACTTCCATAAAGAAAGGCTGCTTAACTGCTGGGAGGAACGTGTGCTATTTTTCTGCACTTGCTGTTGTAACGTGGATTATAGGGTCAATAATATGAAGTACAATACCTTCTCCCTCTGATCCCCTGACCTATGTTCAAATTTTGTCATGCAAGATCTTTACCAGATTTTTAAAGCCTTTTACAGCAACAGAGATAATATGTGGCCTTCACATTAGCGTATTTCCAAGTCTAACAGTGCTATGAGTAGTGTTCTGTGTTGCCTAATATATAAATCATTATCATTTGAAATGGCAACTCTTACAAATAGTCTCTTATTTAAAGCTTAGTTTTTCAAAATATTTATTTAAAAAATAGTAATTTTAGTAAACCATATGGAGGATTCAGTTAAGCAAATTAAAATGATTTAATAAACATTTCTTTTTGGTTAAAAAGTTGTCTCTAATAACAACTTGTTGCAATCTAATTTGATTATTTACAATATCTTTGCACCTGTAAAACTGATGATAAATATCTTTCAGTACAAATTAAAATATTTTCAGTAGTATTTTTACAAAAACTCCCATCATCTGTTTCTGCTTAGAATTTAACTAATCGTCACAGTTCATTTTAACAAATGATCCTGGAAGAGCAACACTGAATGAGATTTTCAACTGTCATTTCTAAAATAAAAATCCTTTTAATAGCATCAACTATGTGCTATCTCTGGACCAGGCCACTGTTCAGAAACCCGCTCCATACAGGAAAATCAGTTAAGTGTTTAAATGATTTCCTGACTCAAGGCTAACATCTCTATCAATTATTTATCCTACAGCAGAAAGAGTCATTCTCGTCTTCCACTGTCAAATCAATCACTGACGCTCCTGACCAAATGACATCTTGGAGAAATCTTGGAGAACAGTGAAGACTTTGCTTGCCTCTTGCCAGCTGATTCTTTCAGCAGCATACACACTTAAAAAAAAATTGCATCTGGTACTTATCTACCCCATATATGTCCATGGTCTTTTTGCACTTCTCTGTCTTTACTATGCTCTTGTAAGCTTTTCAGTGGTCTTAAAGAACCAACTCTTTGCCAGCTTTCTCAGGGAATGTTATGGCCTTCTTGCTGACTCAGGATTCCACCCTTTTAACGTTTTCATTCCCAATAGTTGTAAGATTGCAATGTCTATGTGAAGTTACTCCAGATCCCTTCCTCATTATTTTAGAACTTATGTGAAATATTCTGAATACATGGATACTATTCTTGTTATTGGCAGTGCTTGCTACCCAAGTAGGATCAGACAATCCTCTAGATTTTTGATTTGAGTAGGGCTATGGCTTACTTCTCTCTTAATGAAATCTGAAACACTGAGAAGTGGGATTGCGGGTTTTTTTTCTCCTCAGAATAACTCAAAAAAAAATCCTCAAATCTGGGCAACCAAGATTTTTAGTAGGAAATTACATTGGCAAGAAGTTATGAAAGTGGCACATGTAGAAAATAGAGTTTGATGTGTATACTGATTTACTTTCAGCTAAGATGTAAGGAGGGAAAGCCCTGTTCCCAAAGCCGAATAGCTGAAACATTATATAAGGGCTTTAACGAGTGCTTATGTGACTTGTGGAACGCTGAAAATTCAGACTAGAAAGTGCAACGTTAGAGAGAGATCCACATCTAGACTGAGTTTCTAGAGGAATTCAAACCACAGGCTATATCACAGCAAGGGCCACAAATTCAAGTTTAGCAGTCCAAAGTTTCTCAAGTTTTGAATGAGATGTTTACCAATGTAAGACAAAAACTTACGGAAACACCTGTGTTCTACCAAAATTACCTCTATTGCATCCAAACACAGATTGGATTTTATTTACATTTCTGAAGCTCTTAAAGATGTAGAAGCTTTATTTTGGCATTTCTAAACCTTCCTTTTGCTGCTGGGAATTTGTTGAAATTAAAAATCCAAATGTTTTCAGCCAATGATAATTGCATTTTAGGAAAAGTCACAAACTAAGACGGTTAACAGTAAGAACCTAGCATCAGAAGTGCCAAGTGGTTTTAATAACTGCAGCTTTTAATGGGATGTGTTAGCTACAACCCCACAGAAGGATAATGCTGTGTTTTCATAACAACATCACAGCTCTGAGCGTATGCAAACACAAACCATAAAGCGTAATGTCTTTTAGCTGAAAGTAAATTGAAAACTAAACAATACTTAACATGCTCCAACCACTAGTGTGTTTTCAGTCTGAGACCCCCACGGTATGTCTTGTCTGAAGTAGAAGACATACTGTGAATGTTAGATTGCTTCTACTGCATTGCATGGTTTGCTAATGTAGACACATGATGAGACTAGACTTGCACTTCCCTGCAAGCCCTGAACTGATCGCTCCTTTGCGGCCTGGCTCCACTGCGTCCATGTGCCTGGGAGACGGGATATTTGTCTCCAGCCTATTCTGTCTGTAGCTTGTCAGTTCACAGGGTTAAAGAGTGAGAAGGCAGAGAAACCCATCCTGCAGAATACGAATAAAAGAAGGGATCTCCATTAAAATCAAGAGAGATTTTATCAGGGGCTTTATAGGAGATTATCTGGCTAAAGCTGAAGCTTTTTAAAAATCCAATCTTTTTTTTTTTTTTTTTTTAATATTTGGGAGCCAATAAGAAAACCCAGAAACACCTACTGTAAACATCAGTATATTTATTCAAAATAAATCACTTACTATCAGTGAAATGGTTTTAACTTCTACAAATTTCTGTGCTTAACTGATTAAGTGGAAACTTGTTTCTGGTAGCAAAGTAAAATGCACATAAAACATTTGTCTTGTATGTTAATACACGCTTGCTTAATCAAGTTCTCAGTCCTATGCCTACATTGTCATTCACTTTAAAAACTACTAATTTTATAACTATCTTAGAAATGAACACACTCTTCTTGCATTCTCTTTTTTAATGCAGAAACTGAAAGTTATTTCCTGATATGTAAAATGCAAATGCAGTACTCTTAAATTGTTCATACAATTTTGGATTGGCCTGTAATGCACATGAAACAGCTTCCAGATGAGATGAGGCTAGATTATTATGAAATGTACCTTATTAGCCCTAAGTAAGGAACTAATTATTTCAGATAAGCTTAAGGTGAAGTGTAATTGTCTTCACTTAGCTAGGGAAAATGATTATAGTTAATTTCAGGAAGTTACCAGTAAAATGAGTTTCCATATCAGCCCAAAAGAATGTACTTTAGCAAGAAATTTGTTGTGTTAAGAAATCATGCAATCCTTTATAAAACAAAGCAAAATCAAAAAATACTCCATGAAAAACGTCATCATCTTCCAAAAGTACATTAAAAGTATGTATGCATCTATCACAACTGGAAGACACAGGTTGCTATCCTATAGGATTAGAAACGAGACACAAACATGAAATGCTGCTCACAGCTAATCTTTCCTGAAGAACTCGGTAAATATTAAAAAATATTCATTCACTGTCTCTTCTGGATGTACATTAGAGATATATTTGTGTTTACCTGTCTACTTGGGTGTACCTACTTCGAGATACTGCTTCTAGATAGGCAACTTAAATGCGCTGGGGATGGGGAGACCTGTGCTATTGCTTCTTTGTCTATATTATCAAAGCAAGCACACTAACAGCGTATTGCTAAGCTTGAGCCTAGACCTGCAAATATTTTTACTGAGTGGTCCCACTAACTTCAGAGGGTCTATGAAGTGAACTTCTATGAAGTTAGATGCCATGGATGGAATAGCTAGGCGCTTTGGAGTTTTTTTTATTAATAATCATATACTTTTATACATCGAAAGAAAGAGTTCTTTTTAAGAAAGACAGATTAAGCTGAAAAGGTCATATTGTTCATCTCATTATGAACAATCTGCCCCTTGTTTACAGGGATTGCTGCCTGCCTATCCCTAGGACCTGGTGCCACTAAAATTAATGTCTACTATTCTGTTATAAATTTATCATTGTGCACTTCAGAGTGCAAGTCATTGTTTATGGCACAACTGTAATTATGAACTGTGTATGCATTTTATACGTAGAATCTATGTCAGGTGTCTAGGTACAAAATAATGATTAGTGAAACTTTTCTACAGGAATTAATGATTAAAACAACCTTAGATCATGTTGAAAGTCTGAAACACCATGATACATTTTCTTCTTATACTGATTATTTCAGTATTAATTACAATGTCACTCACCTATTGTTGAGCAACGCTGTCATAGGACTTTTCAGATTAGAAACTGTGTACTTCGCATCTCCCAGGTGAATACTGTTGCTGGAGATAGCTGATGAAAACAAATTCTTAACTTAAGAAAGAATAAAAAATAAAAATAAAAAATAAATCTTGGTGCCTTGACTGCTCATAGCAAATAAAGAATTCTCATTTACAGATAGAAAATACAGGAAAAGGACTGGACAAAACAAAAGTTACCACAGATGCTGTTTGTTCTTTCCCTTTTTCATAGAGTTCTCTCAACAGAAAAAAAAAAAAAAAAAGCCCATTTAATGGGCTTAATTTTCAGTGCTATTTATTTTAAAGGTATGCATTCTTACAGTGTTCTGAGAGTTGTGTCATGCCAGTGAAGATCACCATGATATCACAGCTGAACCCTTTTTATATACACAGCTATATATGTTTTCTGTACAGAAGTTTTACACAACACGGTAATTGTTTGTACCAAAAAAAAGCCACACTTAGTGCTTGTTGAAAACCAGGACAGACTAAAGTATGATATACAGCAGTGAAGTTGTTTTTAAATTCCAACACAGCGCTTTATATCCCAGTTTTTGTCATATGAGAATCTGTGTTGAGATTTTGGCAGTCTGACTCACTTTTTTCTGGAATCACAGACTTTAATGGAAACATAAATTTGACACACAAAACAACATATGAAAACAGCTAAACTGGATTGTAAGTGACAGGAGCAAGCTTTGGCAGAACTTGATTATTTAGAATAACCATCACATTGCTAACAATGAGTCATTCAGGATTTATGCCCCAATATTTTTTGGCAAAGAAAAAGTTATCTTTAACCATATTAGATTACAAATAAAGACAAAAATAGTGCTGATCATTTACTCTTCCACATAGAACACGTGACCCATAGGCAGATCATTTTCCTAAATATCAAGTCAGTGTCATAGCACGACATTTTTATATTTCACTCTATCCTTTACAAATTTGTATGGGTTAACTAACAACAATAGTATCGGACCAATTTTGCTGTGCAAGTGCTGCTTACTCATGACTTCCAAGACAGTAGGTTTATTCGGAGCTATGTCACGGCAGTGTCCTGTATATGGCAGTGCATCCAATTTTGAGCTGAGAGGAGGACTCCAACCCACCGAACATGACTGCAAACAAAATCTCTTTACTATAATTCAGTCTAAAAATCCTGTACAGTCTGTATTGAACTCATAAGAGGAATTACAATTGTACAAGATTGTACATTTTAACGTTAGTAAGATGTATGTGATGGAAAGTAAATTGTGTCAGATGAGCACGGTTGATTGCCATCAGTCTATACAGCATATCTTTTATCAAATTTATCTCCATTGTGCTAAAGGTAAAAGTAGTTTAAGACTAATAAAACAAACTCTCTTCTCATTAAGACAAGACAATACATTTTACAAGACTTCAAATGTTGAATCTCAAGTTCTCTATTGAGTTACTTAATGTTTGCTTCCAAACCAGGATACAGGCTTCATTAGCGCCAACATCATTGTAACACTTCTCATTCGATAACAAGCTCAGTAATTTGGGAGCATACTCTCCCCACCCCCATATATTGTTTGTGCTTCCTGCTTAGATCAAGTGGTCGGTCATATGCCAACAGCCACTATAAAAGTAGCAGTTCAAGTACCTTTTCCCATCCAAGAAAGTTGTAATACAGGATGGTTAATCTAAAAAACGTTGAGAACAAAGTGCAAGGCCATTTGCAGTAAGCAGTTGCCAAATGGAACCATATGCAAAATGGCAGTCTAAAACGAAGTACTGGAACTACAACTCTTATCCAGCTTGATATGTTTTCTGAAAGGGGAAATTACCAAGTAGAGTCTTCAGCATGAATAACACACTTTAGAAACTATCAGTAAAAGAGTTTGCCAAATTAAAAGGTAGTTGTTGATTGTACAAAGAACGAAACAATGGACTTTCCATTCTTTGCATATTTGTTCCCCTCATGAGTCCATTACCTTTCACAAAGAAAATTTTAACTATCAAACTTGTCCATAAATTTTGCCGCTGAGTGTGAAACCATCCAGTTAGCATATACACTATCATTTGCATATCTTGAAAACACAGAGTTAGTGCCATCGAATCTTGTGAGTGGAACGGGGCTCTCCTCAGGCCAGTTCGGGTATGACATGCCTAAAAATGAAAACAGATAATTTTCTGCACTGAAGAACCATAACTTCATGTGCAGACAGTAAGGCCCTTGGCAAAACTCCCGTCAGTATTTTAAGCTAGTCCACTGGATTTTGTCCCAAATCAATTGATATAAATGGTGTTTCAAAATCCCTGAAGCACAAATTCAGTTGTAGGCAAAAACCCTGAAAAATTAAAGTGCTCTCTTAAAAAAAAAAATAAATAAATTGTGTGTGTGCGCGTGTGTGCGCGTTGTGCATGCATTTGTGTGCATGCACACCTGCATAATGAAAGCTAGTAATTTTTCTTCAGATGAGCCTCCAGCTTTCCGTAATTTTCTATTTTAATGATCATGTAGCAATATATTGCTTTGCAAGAGGAAGTTCTTGCTGCACAGGAAGTACTCCAAGCATTAATAAACCTCTTTGGGACAGGATTCAAAGTCCATTCCAATGACAGAGTATTTCCGTTTACTTAAATAGGTGCCTTTCCTTAGCTTCAAAGAGTTTTGGGGGACACTCTCATACCCTCATCAGGGATCTCCTGCTTAATTTTAGGAAATCTTGGGAGCACAACTGAGTCAAGTCCAACAAAGTCCTGAGCACTCTTGTCCTGATGCAGCATTTAAGTGCATTTCAAACATGTAATTACTTCCATTGAGTCTCAACTTCTCAGTTTAGGTACATGTGATCACCAAATTGGAAACAGAGTGCTTAGCACCGCGTTGATCCAGCTGTACAAGCAGAGAACCGTACCAGGGTCAAGATTTTCAAAAACAGAAATCCGATTTTGTTTCTTATTTAAATATTCAGCTTCTGCCATCAACCTTCTTGGCAACTTTTCAGATACTTCATTCTTTTGACAATCTGGCCACTAAGTGCCCAAAGTGAACCTGAGTTGGGGGAACCTATTAAAGAGAATTATAGCTATGAAATTTCAGCTAGGGTGTAGATCAAAAATAGACCCCCAAGCTATATTTTAATGACAACTTTTAAGCTAAAAGATCCAGCTTTTCAAAAGTTATACTGCTTGAAGAATAAAAAAAAAAAATCTGTAATGTTAGTAAATATCTAAAACCAAGTAGAATATTTAATCAGGAGACAAAATGTAGGAGTTTTGGCAAGAACCATTTTTACTGTCCATCTCACCATCACAATATGAAAGCATATGTTCTTTTTAAAAACACTTGCTACATCATTCAATCAGGATTTAGTACTGACATTTTCATAATAAATCAAAGGACGTGAAAACAGTTGAGTGCATTTTCAAAACGCCCATCGTTAATTCAATTTCCAAAAGACTTTATATGTTGATTTTTCATCTGTATATAATAGTTATATACAGGTTTTGTACCTTCTGTATATAATACTCTAATTTCATTCTATGACACATTAAATAGATCTTTCAGCTTATGACTCCAAATTGCATTAACAAGCATCTGAACTTCAGGAATCCATCTTGATAAACTAAAAATGTTGCAAATGGGTCCTATCATTGAATTGTGGCACAAATGGTATTAAAAAGCAAAGTCTATTGCTTAAATTAGAGGTGCAGAATCTAATATACGTTAAATGTTCCTAGCCCCCACCCTCCAACAGGATAATTGAATTAGACACTCATTAGCATTTTATATTTCCCCTGAGAATACTTCCCTGATCTTTTTTCTTTTACTGTATGATATCTAGTAATTTTACTTATTTTCACATCCTTTTAAAAATATTTTAAACACAGCTGCAAAATGACTAAAGGATGATCCTGATGCAAACTTTGACATTTACCAAAAGAAAAAACAAACAAAAAACCCAAAGGAAGCTTCCAAGCAAATTTTGATTGGCTTCATTCAGACAAGGAACACTCTAATGGGGTTACAGAGTCTGAGAACAGTGCAGAAGAAAAATCATTTTTTTGTGTTGCTAGAATCTAGTAAATGCATGTGAAATTCTACCATAGAGTTTGTTTTCAATCCATGTGGAAGGGAGGGTTCGAGGGAGGGGAGCATTATTACAGTCCACGAGTGGTGTCTCCTCTTCTGAGAGCCCATCATCGTAAAGTAAGGAATCAGAAGGTGTGGAAGCCGCAAGATCTAAGTAATCCTAAGAAATAAATACATAAAAGGTGGGGTTAGAGTAAGTGGAGGTGTTACTGGTCAGGTATAAACGCTAAACATGCATCTGGTTTCTCTAAGCCAAGTAACTAGAGGCGCCACTGCATTTGTTTTTTGATAGTACCTGCAGCACCCGACTACCTTCTCCTCTTCTGCAAGCATAGCATCTTCAGAAAGATCTTATCTACCTAAACAATAGGCATACTGCATACATATTAATACTTCCCTTACTTACCTCTGCACATCAATAAGATAACCAAGTTAAAGGGTTGTGCTAACTGATTTGTTTGACCTTCAGTTCCTGTTATGCCTGATATATATGTAAGCCTGAAGGAGAATGTATTCAGATCTTCTCATCATGGTAATCTATTACAAATTGCGTATGAAATTAGAGGTGTGTAAATGCTTTCAAATAAAGCTGTTGCTGTTGTTCTGTTTTGTGTCAGCCATAAAAATCTACAAGTTCTCATCTATGCTGCTGAATGGCTTTGATAAAAAGGGAAACATTTTCAACTATTCTGAATTTTACTTTTTCCTTTCAAAATGGCTTTTCATTTGGAAATTTACTCAAATTTAACTTTAAAAAGACAAAATTACCCAAATGTGTTTGTAAATTGAAAAATATTTTTTAGTCCAGAAACCCAAGAAAAAATGACTAATTTATAGAGCTTTGTTTAGGATTGGCTTTGGTTTTAATTATGATGTTTATTTCAGAAACATCATCAACCTCTGTATTACGAGTCTGTCACTGGATATGCACATCATTTCCATACTGAATCACAGCAGCTATAAGGTACTACTTGACAAGTTAGAGTGATATAATTTAATGTACAGACTAGACCTCTGACTTTTGCCATTTTTAACTTAGAATTTATCTTTACATTCACATTTGGAACACAATTATTCCCATTTGTTTACTAGTCTATTTTGCACCCAAAGTAAATGCCATCACATTCTCAAATCTTATAACGGTTATTTGTAACAAAAAGAAAACTAAGAAATAGATTTTTTTCTAACATTACATATGTATGTGCAAGTAGTGCACATGCATGTATGCATTTTATACATATATGTAACCTGGGCTTATTTTTAGACCTCAGCATACATTTGTGCATGCTCTTCTCATGGGCCCAGAAAAGGAATTATCAAGCTGAAACTCTATTCAGTCAGAGATTTAATGACACAGCTAGGTGTCAATTTTGGAAAAAAAGACACAATTTGTATATGTATGTGTGCAGTATGCATATAGGATTAGAGTTTATCAACTGGTATGTGTAAGGGATAACCGAAGCCAAGACTGTATTGCTGAGCAAGCTGGAAGGACAAGCCATAGCTGAGACTCTCTAAAAAATATCACGAGTGATTTGGTGCTTGAAAATTCCAAGATAAATCTCTACAGAATTCTAACAGCTTTAAAGTAGCTCAGATTGGTGGAATCACACAGCTCTCATTCCTCTGTTGCTATCATCATATTGTTAAATCACATTCAAAGCAATATTGCATTGTCTTAGTTCAAGGCTTCTCACTCATGAGTTATTTATTCAGCAGTGTAATTTAGGAGTAACTTTTCACGGTAGTTTGTTTCTTTCTGATTAAGGAAGCTAGACAGATTAAGGACAATTCATCTCATGCATTTAGGGTTGAAATCACCAAAGCCAATGTACGAGATAGAGCTGCTTTCAAAAAGCTGGATGCATTTGGAGAAAACTAGATATTTACATGGTTTAAAACCTGATGAAAATTAAATTACTTAAAAGAAAAAAAATCAAAAAACCCAGATCTTTATTTCTGTCTCTGCAAACTTAGCTGAGCAGAAAACTTTCAAAAACTTAAGCTTGCATACACTTACCCTACTCTTTACCATCATTTTCTCTAGTTCTTTGCTGATCTCAGCAAATGTTGGTCTTTTATCTGGCTCTTGCTTCCAACAGCGCAACATCAAGTTGTACCTGAGACCCCCACCGTCATGTAGGGGGAAGAAGGGGAAAAAAGAAACAAAACAGTATTTGCAACTGGATCATATTTCTAATGCTTCTACTCAAGTAATTTATACTACAGAAGTTCAATTGTAGCTTGAGGGCCACTCACAAGTAAATGAATGTCTTCTTCATTTCTGTTTTTTTGTTTAACACTCCCCTGAATCAAGAACTGACATTCACAAGAACGGGCATTTATTTTCACATTTTCATGAACTCTCGATGAGTTCAAATGATGAGGCACTCGGCTCTCCTTGAAAGACTGGGGTCTTTGGATTCTTTCACCATTTTCATTTTCTCAAAGGACTGTCTCACGTGAAGGCAGCATGCCAGATTTCAATTTGATTGTGTTTGCATATGACTTTGAAGAAGTCTGTATATCACCAGTGCAGTGCATCTCATAATTTGATTATTATTCTGCCTTTAATTTCGTAATTTTTCCACAGTCACCTTGCCTCCTCTCATGTACAGCATGGAAACAAAAGGGAGCAGAAGTAAAGTTTTATAGTAAAGTGAATATCTGACATTTTCTAAATTTTGGTTCTGTGTTTCTCAACCTAATGCTCTGTTTACATTACTTTTCTAGCTCAAGTATATTCAAGACTAAGTAATCTAGTTGCAAAAGTGTTCCTAATTGGGGAAAAATTGGCCACAGGAACAAGCTCTGGAAGAACATCATGTTTTTTGCCATTATCCATGATCTCTCCCTTACTTGACTGGATAATGCAAAACATGCAATTTAAGAAAAACGGTCCTTAAAGTGGGCTTTCGAAGACTGTCAGATAAACGTCTAAGCAAAACAGAAAAAACATCTAAACCAGTCAGAAAGTCATGATATGGTTTGAATAAAAAAACTTCAGACGTCATCAGCTTGCCTAACCTAAAAACTATCAATGTTACAATGTATGTTGGAGGACTGAGGTCTTGTTGAAAATTTTAAATATTAAATATTTGCTGGAGGATATTTAGCAGTGAAACTTTTAAATTTATACTCTGTTCCAAAATCAGAAACCTGTAATGTTTTTTTCTCTGTATATGGTATACAAAAAAAGATTAATTATATTATTTATGCTGTATTTTCTCAGCCCAGATGTGACTGAAGCATCCTTCATATTGGAAATAAGTCAAGAGAGGCTTCATGGCGAATCTAGCCTGGTAACCTTCTACTAAATTGGCCATAAACAGATGTGCAGGCTGAACATAAAACCAAGCCTCATTTGCAAATGCCATGGAAGAACCATGGAGATGAGATACTTCCTATCGAGGGTGTTTTAATAAATAAAGCCAATAAAACATGAGCCATCTCCAAATAGTGAAGAAATTGCAATGGCTTATAAAGTTGGAGGAGTCGTGTCTTGCAGGGTATAGACTTCTGGGTCAAAGTACCTCTTCTCCTGTGTAATGCTAGGACAATCAGACAATTAACGATAACTTCAGTGGATGGAACATCTATTTCATTTGCAGAAAAGTACTCAAAACATTTTCTTTCATGTTTCAGCTACCACTATGTTTTACGAAATTCTCCTCTTCACCCCAACCCTAAAAATTCTGAATATTCAAGCAATGTTTTTATTTTTTGCCGAGTATGTTATTTGATATCTTACAAGTATCTTGGCTGTAGCTGCAAGCATTCAGCAGGTAAGTCTTCTCCTACACTTTAATGTTCACTGCTTTCATTTCGTTCTTTCGAGTACTACATCCTTTGATTACATTTCTGAGCTATAAATGCAAGTTATATGGAAGAATATCCACGTGGTATTTATTTAAACCTTTTTTCTTCCCCATTCAAGAGACGTTTTATGAATCTGATCAAAACAAGAATGACTTACATTTCTTCACTGCAGTTTTCCGGTCTCTCCATTCTGTAGCCTGTTTTTAGGAGGTTAAAGAGTCTTTCAGGAGCAATACCTGGGTAGGGATTGCCTCCTAAAGTTACAATCTCCCATAGCAAAACTCCAAATGACCACCTGAAAAAGAGGAAAATGAGCTTTCATTTAGAGTGGTAGGATTCAAGAGCGTAGCGTGGCCTTCATTCAGCAAATCTCTCTCTAGCATTTTAAGAGTCCAACCAAATTCAAGACGCTCCAGAAGTAGTGGGGCTCTACAGATGGCTACAGGGCCGTCCCTCTTTCCAAATACTGCAATATAAAGAAACAAAACAGCCTGGGGTAATATAAAAGCTCTCACCCATTTGGTAAAAAGATTAGGAACCAAGATAGGAGAGATGAGGGATGCCCCTCTTTGATCCATTTACAAAGACTAACTGTATCCTGGGAAGGCCTATCTTCTCCAGACAGCGGAAAGGAAGGGTCCTTCATGTAGAACCAAAGGCTGGTTCCTGTCCCGTACAGCGCTCCAGCAGGTGCCTCTCTTCCTCCACTGACTATAGAGGGAAGCCAACCTCCTTAATTAGCCCTTATAGTTCTCTTCAAAATGAATTGTCTAAACTTACAGAGGGTGGCTCAATCAGTTTCCAAGGGCCTGGTTTACTGTCTTAACTAAGGGGTTGCTTCCTTATATGCACTAGGTGTTTATTTCAGTCACAAGCAACACCTTTGATTTCAGCCGATCTATATGGCACGTTCAGTGGTTCAGGACTTGATTTACTTCTTAGAGATGATGAAAGAAGTAGTAGTGATTTATTCTGGAAATGTCAAACGCCTAAAGAATAGTTTAAAGTTTAACTAGGACAAAAAACAGAAGAAAATTTTTTTTTTTTGCAATAAACAGAAGAAATGACTTTTTTTTTAGACTTGCGCTACTGAAGAGCTCAAAAAAAAAAAAAAGGCATTGGTCAACGGGTTGGAAACGTACGTTCAGACAGACGAAATTAGTCAAACTTTGAAGGGCCGGCCAGGAGAAGGGAGGCAATAATATTTTCTTTTCCTTAGTGGAGGAAGCCTTATTCCAGACAGAGAAAAGCTACAAATTACTGTAAATCTCCTTGACTGATAGGACTTGCCAAAATTTAGATGTTCACAGTGAAGGAAACCAGCCAATGCTGTGTTTCACTCAGAGATGCTCAATAGGATGCATCTGGAAGGAAAATTATATACAATTTATGACAAATGTCAGGTTTTGTACTTTCATGGTTGGGTATTTTCTGTGAAAACTCCACTTTTAAGAAGGCTTTTGGAAGTATTACACACCTAATGTCAAACTAAAAAGCAGTCTCTAATTCCCTTTGAAAAATGTCATCTCAAAATTTTAGCAAAAAAACCCTCAGCTCTTTCTGACTACATGCCACTGGTATTTCTCACATGTTAAAGAAGAAAATTGGTAACCCGAAAAGTACAGCAATAAAATCTCCAAAATGACTGTGCAGAGAAGCCAAACTGCCAGTCTCACAGTCTTAAATGGTATGTAGCAGCTTTTCTCCCTTACGCCAGTCATTGAATTCATTTTTCTTAATTTGCACATTCTTGAAAGCTAATGAATATTTATAACATTTTGATATACTTTATTAACATACCTCCTCATGCCCTTTACCAAGCCAATTATGCTCTGCCATCAGCTTATAATTCTGCCCATGATCAAGTCAAATAAACTTCGTTGTGCTGCAGGTTTTATTTTTAAAATCCACCTCTTTTGCTTTAAGAGGCATTTTTCAGAATGTGGAAGGAGGCATCAAACGAGTAATTTCTTAATTAATTCAAACTGTTTAGTAAATAGGCATCTTAGAATAGAATGCTATAGAATGCTGCAATGTTTTCAAAACATTATACAAGTTAAGTACTATGGAAGAAGAAAAGGGAGATGAAAAAATTCCCATTGTGCTATGCTTATTGAGGAATAAATGTGTGATCAGAAAAAGCCAGAAAAGAAAAAAAACCACTAACAGGAAGACAGTAGGCTAGCTTTGCACTGATGTCATCACCCTCTGAAGCAAAAAGGAATTTTGTAAATGCTGGCAAGTGGTCCTGCTATTAAGCACTGCTAACCACTAACTATACAGAAAGGTTTTAAAAGGAAGAAGCTGGAAAATAGAAACACAGAGAAAAACAGCATTCTGGACTGGTTATTGAGTATACTATTTTATGTTCACCTAAAAGATAATTGTGTCAACACAAACAACAAAGAGTATTCCTAAAATATTTCCAGTGAGTGCAACTATCTAAAATAACAACCAGTACTGCAAAAAAAGTTATTAATTTTTCAGTTTGCTATACTGCTGGAACGGCAGTTGAGGAACCTAGTACTGGAGAGGATTTCCTTTACAGCTTTCTGTATATGTCTCAGTACTGCTCTGGAGGGACTTCGCGAAATGAGGAGCTGCTTGGTAACAATCTTAGATTACGGACATGTGTAATGACATGAATAATGAGGGTGACCTCACCAGTAAGTCACAGGCACTGTTTAACCCTGGCAGATAATTAGACTTCTTATGCAACTGCACAGTGCAGTGCTCAGTTAGGAATACCTGATGTATCTCCAGGTCAGCTGGCACTTCAGCATGGCCATACACAGAGGTACTAATCTGGATCTGGGCAGCAGTAAAGCTGCACAGACCAGTATGCTGCCCAGCACTTGGAGCTAGCTTGTTTGACACCAGGAGGGCAATCTCTGTGCTATGTTGTATCACATATGTGAGAGATGAGTTCCTGAGCTCAATAGCAGCCCACCAGGAAAACAAACAGGATGCATGGCAGTGGATCCAGAAGATCTATCAGCAACCAAAGAGGAGGCAACTACATGGCAACACAATCTGTTCTGGCCCCAAATCATCGTGACACATCTGCTTTGTAGAAAATGAAGAAATTGAAATTATGCTAAGACTTTTTCTCGAAGAAATTTACACATTCTCTGGGAAAAGTCACTGCAGAGAAACAGGTCAGCACAACAGATGCTTTGAGGAAGGATGCAAAAGAGATCCATCAAAACCTGCAGACAGACCTAAGTAAAAGTGGTATTTTTCTGGGAATTACACTGTATTTCTTCCTACTCCATATGAAACAAAGTAAATGGGGATGCCCCACAAAATGAAATTCCCAAATATTTTGAAGTCAAGCAATAAATTTTATTTCACTAAAACATTCTGACCTGCAGAGAGAAGAGTATAAAGCGAATAAAAAATAACTTCAAAGGCAAAAAGCAAGAGGTTCTTCTTTGCACTTACTGCAACAGGATGTTATCAAAGCATTGTCCTCCAAAGCAAAATGTCCTTGAGATTTGTACGTGTTACACCATTTGAGTTTAATGAAAACATTAATCGAGTCAAATCATCTTTCAAGTGATACGTGGAAGCTATCAAAGTGCTACCTTGGGGAAAGCCAGGCATAAGTATTGCTACTTTTGCCATCTCTTAGATATTTTTCTCCTAAATAAATATTTTGTTTTACAGTGTCTGCCTGGTCACTAGTCACCACCATCACTGGTGGTGAGAGAAAAAGGAGCAGCAGTATCTGATCCTCAGTTGAGCCTAACACAGATACAGCATTCAGTCTTGGGCAGCCCTGTGTCTTAAGCCCCCTCCCACCGTGTGTGGGAGCTCTGTGGCCTGACTGAAATACAAAAGAAGCCAGTGAGTGCTCTGTGGAACTCTTAAATGCATCCAAATGCTCCCCTGCCTGGCTCCCTGCTCTGTGCATCGGGTAACAAAACCAGGTTAGCTGTGGTGGCTTTGCCACCTCATCACAGGTGAAGAAGGAGCACATCTTCAAGAACTCAGTTTTCCTAACTATGCAAATGAACTGGCATCTTGGCACTGGAACCAGACTGTTCCCCTGAAGTCTGAGCTGGCTATCATTAAAATTAATTGGACTATGTCATCGATTTCAATGGGAGCAAGGCCAGACCTTAAATTCTTCCCCCGCCCTGCTTCTTTGTCTGCCAACAGGTATTGCAGACAAACGAAGAACAACAACTGGACAGTTTGGGTACAGTCATTATCATTAGCAAAGGCTAATGATTTGTATCTATATCTTCAAAGGCAGCTAGCTCCCACTTACAGATCCAACAGTCATTGGTTTCAAATAGAATAATGTACCTAAATACCTCTGACAATCTTCCTCTTAGATTTAATTCAGTAGCAAAAATTCCATGTATCCCCTCAGTACCAATGAATGATTCCATTCAGACTGTGTTCTTTATGTTCCCATGCAAGTGTAACAGCTTTTGCTTCTGGGTACGTTATTGTACTTCCTGCCTCATCTCCTTGAACAAACACATAAACCATAAGGCATGCAAGAATTTACACTTACACATCACTCTGTGTTGTATAAATATGATCAAATAGGGATTCTATGGCCATCCATTTGACAGGTATCCGACCCTAGGAGATGAAAAGCAGCAACATAATTACTGGTCAGAAAATTAAGTTTCCCTGTGGAAAATCAACATGTTTATCTTCAAAACTGTGACAGATTCTATAGTCAAGTATACCTCTCATCTTTTCCAATGGACTGAAAGACTTGACATTCCATAAAATAAGCTAAAGAACAGAACAACTGTAACAATCAATGAGCTTCGTTCATTCATTTCATTCCACCCACTTAAGTTATCTAATTATAAAAAAACAAGTTTTTTTTTTTTCCAGATAGTCACCAGTTAAAGGCAGGTAAACTCAATTCGCTTCTACTGCTTTTGGAAAACACGCAAGATGATGGAGAATGATGATTAAAGAGGAAAAGCCATCTCATTCATATGAATAATGATGCAAAAATCGAAACATTTAGATGTTAGACACCTTAGGTTTCTGAAGGCTACTGTACCTGGACAAGTATATTCAGCCACTAGGTACTAAACTGAGTCTACAAGTTGCTGCTTTCCACTGGCAGGAATTAACTGATAAAATCTCAGAAACCTGTCCTGGATATTCATGATAATCTTGGCTGTGCAAAATATCCAAGATGTTTCATTACATTCACAATATTACTGGCATTCATATTTCATAGATCTTCCTTGTTCTCATGAAATTCACAGATACGCAACAACTGTTTTAGCAGAATTTGAAACATCCTTTTTCCTCCCTCTCAATTCTTTCTCTCTTATTCTTGTTTCCCTATGCAAGCAGACAGATGCTTTTTATGCTCTGAAAACTGTTACGGTGATGACGGTCTCAGAAGTAAAGAGAATAGTTATTCAGTACATCCTCCCTCCTCCTCTCACCTCCACTTTCATAAAATGAAAGGGCTTTCCATCCTCCCCCTTCTCCACTTTCAATCTGTCTCCATGAAAGGCAAAACTTTAAAACATCTAAGACCCAGCCAAATATCACTAAATTCTGCTGATTTGACAAATCAGCAAAGAATTTTTCAACAAAGCTTTTTCAAACTTCTATCAATATCCTTTTTAACTTATCAAGAACATTATTACATAAAAGCGGCATTCTTAAAACGCAGAGTAACTGGTACAGACAGCTAACAATCAATGTAAAACACGTATCAGACAACTAACTAAATATGACAAAACTTTTTTTTGCATATGATCGCATCTTCCAGAGGGTTTTTTCTTAGCAACTTATTTTGACTTATGAAACATTCAAACAAATAACATTACTAAACTGAAAAACAGAGAAAGCTAAACTTCAAAGTCATAGTATTTATGGAAATTTTTGCATAAATTTATAAAATTCTCACATGCAAAACTTTCTTTCAGCAATTCTTCAGCGTTAAGTCATAGAAGGAACTGAACCAGCACAACTAATCTTATAAACAATCAATATCTGGCCTTGGACTGACATGCAAAAGTTCCACCGATGTCTGACAGGTGGATGCATACATGCATGCAGAAAATAAGATTTGGCTTGCTGTATTTGTCAGTATTTTTAACAAGAATACATACATGACAAATTTCAACTTGTCTTCTTAGTCTCAAAGTTATTGCCCCTAAGTGTTTCTTTTCAGGCAAGCAGTGATACGACTCAACAAGAGGAGGAACTCTCCTAATGCCACAGGAGAGTCTTTTCCATCAGATTTCCTTTACACAGTCCTACAGATGAAACATTACCACATGCTGAATTCTGCCAGGAGCACTGCAAGCAGAAAGAACTGTATTTCTGGACAGCTGATCATAATTTACTCTGACAGGTAAAATACAATTGCTTTAGAGACTCTCTCGCAGGTAGCGCTAGCAGACTCCCTTCTTTCCCTTTGGATGGCATTAGAGATGGGCCTGTGATCTACTATTGTGATTAAGATTTGGTATTTTTCATATATCTGGAAGCGTTTGTCAGAGGGCTTTGCTTCAAAGCAGGGTCAACTAGAACAGGTTGCTCAGGCCTGTGTCCAGTCAGGTTTTGAGCATCTCCAAGGATGGAGACCTCACAGCCTCTCTGGGCAACCTGTTCCAGTTTTTGAGCAACCTCACAGTAAATAAATAAATAAAAATAAAAATTCTCGTATTTCAGTTTGTGCCCCTTTCCTCTTGTCCTGTCGCTGGCCGTCACTGAGAAGAGTCTGACTCTGTCTTCTTTACCCCCTCCTAAAATCAGGTATTTATACAGATTGATAAGATCCTCCCTGATCTTCTCCAGGCTGAACAGTGCCAGCTCTCCAAGCCTCTCCTCACATGTCAGATGCTCCAAGTCCTTAATCATCTTAGTGGCCCTGCTATAACTTTTATTAAGTAGCTTTCAACATACTAGAAATCAATCAAGTTTGCTGATGAGCAGGAAAGTTAAAATATATAGCTATATTTACAAATGAGGAGAATGAAGAGGGGGAGGTGATAATGGTGGCCTAAATATGATATATTTTCATACTTATGTTATTGTCTCACTACTTCAACTCATCATTTTGCTTCATCTTCATGTGTTTTCCTTTTAAATAGACAATTATTCATAGTTAATAACAATTAGCTATTATTTTTCTTCTGTGCTTAAGTCCTGCAGTATAAATTAATTCTCTCAATTAGGAAATAATTCCCAGTACTGTTGTCAATATGCACTATACCTTGCTCCTCTTGACATATGAATCTTCTTCATATACATCACGGGATAAGCCAAAATCAGAAATCTTCATTTTGCGTCCCTCTGCCACCAATACATTTCTGGCTGCTAAATCACGATGGACAAGCTTTTGGAAGAAATCAACAATAGCGTTTATTCCTCTTGTGGAGGAACTGATTGCTGATATGTACGTCTATCACAAGGGCGTGCTCTACCTTCATTTCTGCGAGGTACTGCATTCCCCGTGATATCTGCCATGCAAATGATATCAGGTCTCCCATTGTTAGAGCTCTCTCATCAGGGTTATCCAAATAACTTGAATTTCTGTTGCCGTCACTACCCACGTAGCTTGGTCCTACTTTTCGACTTTCCCTGAGAAAACTGCGCAAGGAACCATATTTAGCATATTCCACAATTAAATATAGAGGACCTGAAATAAACAAAGAGATAAGTTAATAAACAAATACATAGCCATTTCTTATTTTTTCAAAAAAGTCTCTTCTAATCAGTACAGACCGTTTTTAACGGCCAGAGTCTCCAGACACGTCTGTCCTTCAAATATAAGGCACTGAATCAGCCATAGAATAATTGTAGCCTACATCATCCATGCAAAAGTAAGCAAGTTTCAGCCTAAATCAAAGCAGAACTCAGGCTGTAACCTATTCCCTCAGCTGGGTAATTTGAAACTAAAAAAAACCCAACAGCCTAAACAAAAAAAATCAGAACTGTAAAACCACCTAATTTAGAGAAACTTAAAACAAACAAACAAACAAACGACCCCAAAGCCCCCAAATCAAAATTCTTTTCTGGAGTGTGTGACACTGAGCTCACAAATCATCTGCTAATTCCAGTGTTTTATTTAAGGTGACTTTTCAAAGCACTTAAAAACATTCTGACATTTCAATCCATTAGTGAGTTTCTCCTCCCCACTATCTGCATGAATAATATCCACTCAGTGCTTAATGCTGAATACACTTGTCTGCTATATCAAAGCCCTCCCACTCCATACATTAATGAATTAACTTGATACTTATTAAAAGCCTGTGACTCAAACAGCTCACTTTCCTAGTGATGGAAAAAATATATGGTACTGAAAAGAAAAAACAAAACTCACTGCTGGTTCATTACCTTCCTAAGACTCAGAGATGACTCAGTCCTGAATTATATTCTCTGTCTACCGCTAACACTGCCATCTGCAACACAACTAGGTGGGCAAAGAAGTCAGGGCCCAAGTTTGTAACATATATACTGTGATTTTAGGCTGCAAAAATCACAAACTATTTTAGTGAGAAGGACTAAATAATTACAGATACAGTAGGAAAAAAAAGGAAGTTGCATGGCAACATCCTACCATGAACAGAAATTATCCAGATAAATCCCTAAGCACAGGAATGAAAATTTGCCCTGTTAGCTGTTTATAAATCCACCTTTCAGAAAATTACTTCTCCAGTAAAATAAACCTTTCAATGACTGTGACTTTTAGCAAATATATCACAACAAGAGAGATACGGATATCATGACAGAGCAGGAAAATGGAGTATCAATCTGACTAGCAAGCTATATTTTAACAAAGGGATCTGCAGGGTAGAGTTCTCTTTTTAAAAAAGGAGATCCCACTCCTTGACTTAGGACTCAACGCCTTGTTATAGTACAAATAATAGCAATAATGAAAACCCCATTAAACTCGAAATACAATCCATAACTGAAAGCATTTACTGAGCATCAGCAAAATAAAAAAATATATATTAACTGGAAGAGAATTAGTAATACAATGGTTAATTTTAAAACAGCTGCAGAATCAAAAGGCATATTGAAGATATCCATGAGAAAAACGCTCAGTTACACCGCATTAACATTTCCCCTTCCCTTCAAACATTGCTTGTCCTTACATGACTTCATTTTTCAGCTAGCAGCAAATTTATAAGGTGTTCTGCATTTTTAAGCACTGCTTAAAAAGAACTGCTATTTATTTCCTTTTAATTAAAATCTCATCTTAATAATGAGCGTCTAATATTTACCATCTTGACTGCAGGCTCCATACAGCTTGATGACATGAGGATGGTTCACCTGTTTCAAAAGGTTGAACTCTGAAAGTAGATCTCGCAGCTCACTCTGGGAAGCATTTTCTGCAGAAAATGTCAGGACAAAATAGTGTGGTTAGGAAAGCATTATCCCAGAATTTTATACATAGAATCTAAAGAATGAGATCAATCTTTTCTCTTGGAATTAGCTTGGTATCCTGCTACAAGCCTTGCTCTGCCCTGATACAAATGATACACAAAGAGCAGGTCATGGAAGAATCAGGACCAGAGTCTTCTATGCCTTGCAGATGTCATCATGAAGTTATGACAGACTTTTTCTAGTGCTCTACAATAAGTTTTTGGGGGTGAATCAGAACAATCTAAACCTCAGAAGTCTAAGAAAACCAAGATTTTTCTGTTGATCAAGCAAAAAAGGACTTGGTCAGCTGTCTCCTCATGATATAGCACTCTTCCTCCCAAATACATTTTCTGATGAGGTAAAAATGCACTTATCAACTAGTTTACACTTGTAGCACACATCCACATTTAGAGTTCAGAGGCTAAACATACAGTTCAGATTGATTTCACTGGGACATATGTATGCAGATTTTGCTATGCCTGTGGGAATACTATGACAATAGTATTGTCCCCAGAGGTTTTCTTAGTCTGTCAAGGATTTTGGTTTTGCGGGGTTCTTCTGACTAACAAACTTCCTCTTTGAACACACCGGGGCTCCAGGGAGATACTTAGTCACAGGACACCAGATTTCAGAGATAAACCTCTCTAACTCATCCTTAATCTCTCTGACATACAGAACCTGCCTGCATAGTTCCTAGAGCGTTACTACCAGGCAACTGACAAATACGTGGTAACCCTTACTTAAGGCTAATTAAAAAAAAAACTCAACTTCTGATTTTTCGTACCATACTGTTTGTTAATTAATTTATTTGAGGATAATTGGTATATTTATCCATGAAGGCAATTTAGGCTGCAAAGAATTTATTTACTCTTTAAGTGAGTATTTAAAATACATGTGCTATTTAATAGCTTGCCCTGGTAATGACAGTCTTTGATTCTGTTCATATATGTTGACATATGTTCATATATGTTGATATCAGCCTGCCATATCCTGTCTTTGAAATGTGAACACAGGTTCAGACTATGAGTCTCCCACCCCAAGAAGTGCAATATCAGATGGTTTAACACTACTGACGGTGACTATGAGAATAATACGTTTTTATCTAAACAAACGAACAAAGTCAACAATATGAACTTAATGACTGTGGGAAAGTTCTGGTTTTCTAGCTTTGGAAATGTGAAAGCACTTGCAAGAAGAGAACAAAGCACCCCATGCTCCCCTGCCCATCTCCTTCTGGAATAACTACTCTCTATATCCCCCAAACGGAGACAATTAGCTCTGAAGCTTTATGACCCTTTGTTTTTAGTGCATTGGCAGTAACGTCTAATTACCTGTTGGTTGGTGTTTTCCCTTCAGTTTTATTCTGATGAGACCATTCATGTTATGCAGGAAGTCAGATAATTGGATTCATGTGAGAAAAGTGATAAATAACAGGCTGAAAAAATTCTCGTTCTGTTCCTTTAAACTTCAGTCCATAAGTCCAACCCTGTTTTGCCTTTGTGGCAGCTAGTTATTTACTCTCCTTGTTCACTCCCCAGACTGTTACACCAAGCTGACAAGCTAGAGACAGTCCTACCCTGTTCCATCCGTAACTACACATGGTGCCAATCTACACAGTTCAGGCACCAAGATACCTTTATGCAGTAAGCAGGAGGCTTTCTCTATACTACCAATGTGCTGGTATACGCGCCATTCCTGTCTAAAGGTCAAGCAGTATAGAGTCCTTAATCTGAGGTTGAGCTACCCCTACCATCTCTTCCTACGTCTCATTCTTTCAGTAATTTTAATACAGAAAGAACAGGTAAGGTTGGCCTGATCCAAAATAAGTGTCCTTTACACTTCCTAATAGCATTCTAAAGACCACTGTGAACTAATGTAATATTTCTTGTACTTGAGTTGCTATTTGTTAACAATAAAGTTAAAACAATAACAGTATATAAATATTTGCAGTAATGAGAAATGTTCTCTGCAATCAACTCAGAAAATGGAATTTTTCAGGTGATTGCTTGCAAAGAAATTTACGTTACAAAGAACTCCTTAGCGCCTGAAGTATTACTCCAAATGTCAGATCAATTTATTAAAATAAGGTTCTTAAAATAAAAGGTTATTCTTTCCTACTATCAATTCTGACCCTGCTATTATCTAGGGAAAGCTGAATGTTAAATCATCTGTGAGTAAAAGCAACATTTTTACCAACCTATCTTGGAATCTTAGCTCAGTCACCTGTTGTTGATGAAAACGTGCTAGCAAATCATTGACACGAAGCACACAGATAAATATTAAATAAAGCAATGACTATGACCATTCCATTCAAAATGACATACAGGAATTTACTTGAGCATCACAGGTAGTGCTTGACTAGTCTTCATCTCTGAAAAGACTTAGGACCGAGATCTTCTCCTTATATCATATCTCCACTGAACCTCTTAGACTCGAGGCATGCACTTCAGAATGCATTTATTCCTTTGGAAAACTGATGGAGCATGCAGCAGCTTTGCTCTCAAGCAGCAGATGATGGATCTTTTTTTAAATGTGCATGCAATAGAAATGGTAATAAGATATATAACACTTTCTTATAATTACATGTGTTTATTTATAAGCAGCACATGGATGGGATCATCCAGCTAGACCTAGTTGCCTAGCAGAAAGAATCTTCTAGTATCCATAAGGTTCTAGCATTTGAAGGTTCTTGTGTCTCATCTTTGTCTCATATATTCCTAGGGGCTTGATATATAGGGATGACACGCACTTAAGAATTAGTATACAAGACTACAGAGAAGTGCAGCGAAGGGCTACTAGGATGATGAAGGCACGAGCATCTCTCGTATGAGGAAAGGCTGAGAGAGCTGGGTCTGTTCAGCCTGGAGAAGAGAAGACCGAGGGGGGATCTCATCAATGCGTATAAGTATCTGAAGGGAGAGTGTCAAGAGGATGGGACCAGACTCTTCTCAGTGGTGCCCAGCGATAGGATGAGAGGCAACAGGTAAAACTGAAACACAGGCAGTTCCACCTGAACCTGAGGAAAAACTTCTTTACTGTGAGGGTGACTGAGCACCGGAACAGGTTGCGGAGTCTCCTTCCCTGGAGATATTCAAAACCTGCCCGGATGCGATCCTGGGCAACGTGCTCTAGATGACCCTGCATCAGCAAGGAGGTTGGACTAGATGATCTCCAGAGGTCCCTGCCAACCTCAGTCATTCTACATTCTGTGAGTCTGTGATATAATTGCGTTTTCATATCTGTTTCAACTTTCAGGATGTGGAGACAAACGACTTTTTGAGGGAACAGGTTTAAACATTTCCATTGACCTTCCTCACTACCATTGGATGTCCAGTGATGTCACTATTAGAAATCAAGTCCACGCATTAGATATAGTTATATGTGACTAGAGATTTTACATAACAAATAGCACAAGCTGTGGGTTTCAACAGCTTCCACCTGAGAAGTACAGTAACACTGGAGACTTTGTATATTGGAGAACAAGCAAAAAATTCATTTTTTCATCTTTTTCTTTCAATATAATTTTCTTTTCAGTATGGGAAAGCAGCAGGCACATGTGGGGCTAAACACAGTACTAAACAGAGATAGGACAAGACCACAAGGTCTCACACTGTCATCTCAACTTGTCTAGGTATACAGCTTTACAGCCTCAGAAAAAACTGAGACACCATGAGACAGCGCTGGGCAATGCAAGCCAGTTTGGAAGAGCTCCTAGTAATTGAATAACACATCAAAAGATACAAAGGTGGCTGGTATTCACAATCAGGAAAGTAAGTGGATAACTTGATAGGTCTATCCTATCTCTGGACATGAATATAACAGGATCTACTTTAAAAGCCATCTCAGAGAAAACTGAGGTAGAGGGGAAAAAAAAAGTCAGAAAGCTTTAACAAACCCTTGCAATGTTTCCATCAATACCAAAAAAAAATTAAATGCATTTGCTACATTAAAGACAGATCTGGTCCTTGCATAATATGAGTTAGAATTACTTGTGGAAATTACTTCTTTCTATGAACGTGCTGCTAGCTCCTACAATCAGAAATCTGACAGAACATAATGAGAACGTTGAAAGAAATGGAGGCTATGGCACTGGCTGTTTTCAGCTGACCTTTTACTTTCATGATAGATTTTACTTTAAAATCCTTTCAGAGGATGTTCCAAATAGTTTCTAAATCATTTCAGACCCAGATAGAAATGTACCTTTTAGCATTTTCACTGCCACAGTGGTATAGCCAGCTCTTCCCTTGAGTCTGAATGCTGTTGCCTTAACCACCTTTCCAAATTCTCCTTCCCCTAGAGTCTTGCCCAGAACCAGGTTCTTCCGAGGGAATTCCCACTTTGGGTCCTCCTGCAGGAGAGAAAATGAGTCCTATAAGATGAAGCAAGACAGAAGCAGCTAGCTACACATGAACCATTAATGTTTAATAGGATGTCATCCTTCAGGAGCCGGCACGCTTTGGTGTTAAATTTTTGGTCGCTCTTTTTATCCATATCAATGTATTCGTACAAAAACTTCTGAACCTCTAAGCATTTGCAAATGTTTTTTTCATTACCTTGAAATCACTTCCTCAAAAACAGGCCTGTAAACGTAGCCTAAGGGTAACAGATGATATTTACAGGTCTGGGAAACAGGGTATAAACGAAACATGAAGTGATACAGAATAAACATTTGCTTTCAGAACAACTACGAATATGTGACCTTGGACTTCACAGACAAGTAAATCAGTTTTACCTGGGAAAGAAGACCTTCCCTTAAGAGTTCATCAGAAACAACAATCCTCTTATGAAATGAGTGTTACTGAGCCTTACAGTTGCAAAACGGTGACAGATGTACAAATCAAACAAGAAATTAAAGGAAACGGAGCACAAGGTCCCCCCACGTACGTTATTTCTGCTTCAGTATCTGAGTTGGGTACTTCTACGAATAGATTTCCATAACATTTTCTGTCTGCAATAAACAACCTTCCTTAGAAACAAGACAGGCATCCAAAAATAGCATGCAAAAGAACATCAAACTTACTGGTATTTTAAAGGTATCTACAGACACCTGGTTCTCCATGGAATCTAAAGAAGGTCGACGGACATTAGTAGAAGAATAACTGATGGGATAAGACTGGGCTGGGCGCCGGAAAGTCATTTCTGCCGAGGCAATAGGCGGCTTTGGAGAATTCTTGTGGTAGCGATGAATAAAATAAGAAGAAAGCAGCACAGAGATGATGAAGGACAACAGCACTGCCCCTGCTATCACAGTCTTGCACACATCATCACATAGTTGCTCTGTGGACCAAGAACAGCTTATTAGAACTTTACCGGTTGTTGCCTCCTTCCTATTTGGCAGTTCACATGACACACACAGCTGTCACAGAAAAAGAAATCAAAATTATTTTAAAAGCCAGAGCAAAACCTAAGTAGCTAATTCTCAAAGAAACGTAGAATGGGTCTATGCCCACTGCACCTGCCAATTCTTTTTTTATTTTGGACACCAGGTAATTGCTTCCTTATCTGCTGTTGAAGTGTAAGGAGAGCTAGCGAGCTTGACCCCATATTTCTTAGTTTTATAAGTGCAGGCTACTTCTGAAACTCTTCTTTAAAACTTAGTCTCCTAGATATTGATGTTTTGATAACACTTACGTCTCTTAAGACCTATGACTGGATTTTGCATGTGAATAACAGTTTATGGCTGTAGCCGTTCAGCCCATCAACTAAAATCTTCTCTGGGTGTGATTTTTAGTTTATTATGATAATTGCTAGATGTTAAAAAATGCTTCTCTTCATCTTTTTAGATTCAAAAGAAAGTGACTTAGAATATTTCTGCTTTGTGTTTAACAAAATAATTGTTTCTGAAAATATTGCCTAATGCTACAATCGCTTCTAAAGTGATATTAATTTTTTTCTCTCCGTTTACTACTTCCCCTTTTGCAGAAACACTTCTAGTGTCTTCCTCTGGAAACTAAGTGCCTTTAAGTCTAAGTGCCCCAGGACATCATTCCTAGGACATCACTTCCTGAAAGAACTGTGAGATCCAAAATACTTCCCGTGCACTGTTGTTCATCAGATGATCCTGACTTCAGGTACACAGCTACCTCAGATACATCAGTATGCCCTAACTCAGAAATTAAGTGGAAACAGCATAATATAGGTAAGTCTTTTTGGGAAGAAAAAAAAAAAGTCAGAAGCTTTACGCTTCCTCCTCCTTCTTACGCCACAGAGTAGAGTAAGTCAAAATATATTAGCAATATATTATTAATAACTCAGTTTTAGAGATGCAAAACACTTTACCTTATTATAACAATAATAAAAACAATTTACAAACACTTTAACCTCCATCAATATGTCTGAAAGGATTATATAGAAGCTTTTATGCTTTGAACAAAGGCCAAGGAATAAAGTAATCCACTCCTCCTCCTAACACAATAAATGCTGGCTCTGACAATTTGAAGCGGAGATTTTCAGAAACGATAAGGAGGCTGAAATTTCATGAAGGTAACAGAAGTTGTTATTCTTATTGTCCTAGCTATCTTTGAAAATATCAAGTGAGTCCCACTGAAACGCAAATGCAGTAGGAAAGCAAAGGACAGCTGACCTGTTTGTCAGGTAGTAACGGATAAAAGAGAAGCTTTAGCCAAAGAGAGAAGGAAACCCCCTGGAGATTTTTAGTTTCCACAGCAGAAGTTAAGGTGTCAGTTCTTAATGAATTTTATATTAGCAGGCTCTGACCAAAGATATTGCTCATTAACCTGTCCATGAGTTTAGATTGTTGTATGCATTATACAGGGCAGATGCAAAGAGAGGGAAAGATTAATATGACAACAGAAGATAATGTTGAGGCTTACCCTTGATATCAGCTTTCTCACAGTAACAGTTCTGTCTCGGGAAGCAGTAACAAATCCCATGTCCTGACTTAATTCCAAGATTTCCAATGCCTTTCCCATGACCACCAATAATGTTTCCACCTAATCAAATACAGACACAAGCTCAGATTCGCACGTGCAGTTAAAGGAGAAAAAAAAAAGGCTCAGAGTGTTCCATGTGCTTGTCCTATTATGCAGCTGAAATTTGACTAGGCGGCACAGCGTAGCAACAATGATGATTCCTGAGAATTAGGGGAGATCCTTAATTCTGAAATTTCTGAGATCCTAAAATGAGGGCACCTTGGGCTACTTGAGCATTAGCCCTGATTAGCAGTTATTCCCATCATGGAAGAGGTAGCTTAAATTAAAAAAAAAGTAATAGTTTTCTTTGTATAGCTGGGATACCTTACGGTTTCAGATACTCCTTAAACAGTTATATATAATCTCATTATTTAATGCTAAAATTCTACATCAAATGATCATCTCATACCTTACCTGGATGTCTCTTCCTGTTACTGTTTTTTATTAGTGAAGTGGTCTTACATTTTAAAATATTCCCCAAAATATCTTCTATTATTTTTTTTCTATTTAATTTCTCTCTACCATTGTCTTAAGTATTTGTTATGTATACGAGATGATTAATGTTTCAGTGGTATAGAGCAGAAAACCAGCCATCTACAGATCTGAGTTCTGTTCCTGGTTCTGACACCAATTTCCTCTTATATTGAAAAAGCCAGCATAATGTTCTATACATCACTTGTTTCACTGTCAAATGGAGATAACGATACTTAATCGCCTCTGTAAAATGCCGTGGCATAGTCCAATGAAACCACTAAGAGTAAGTACCAAGTATAAGGGAAAAAATGAATCTTTTACTATCTTAAAGGATGCATTACTTAGTATTAGGAAAAAAGTGTAGTAACTCACATAAAACTACTCTTGATTTCAAACAGTTCCCCATGCAGAGTGATTGAGCAAAAAAATAATTTTTTTCTGCATATAGTATAAAAATGACTATTAGTTGTAATATTTTTCACCTGTAAAGTATCTCTGCTCACAAACAGCATTTTACAGACAGAAATTGCAAACAAACCAGTCACGTTCTATAAATTTAGTTGTGTTTCAGAAAGATCCTCTAAACCATAAAGGGATTCAAATGGTGAACAAGATATTTTCAAAAGTCTTCTTTTTAAATTCAGCTCCTTTTTCTCCATCCCACTTACTTCTGTAGCAGAGTGAACGACTGTTTCTTTCATATTTCTTTGGATGTGCAACAAAAATTGAGGAAGAGGACGTTTTTAACAACAGGAAGGCAAACATCCTTTTTTAGACAAAGTGAAACAGGGACTTGAGTATCCAAGCAAAACAGATTGTGACCATTTTTCCAGAGAGGCTACACCTACTAAAATTGTCTGCAGCTCAGCTGGTTACAGTCCAACTTTCTCTCTTCTGTAAAGGTGATGAAAAAAGTGTCCATTAGCCTCAGGAAAAAAATACATATTTATCTGTTTATCTATCTATCTATCTATATTTGAGGACCTGGAGGTAGGGGGAAATGGAGGATGAGCAGGTTCTATCTAAATAGCTCTTGAGTGAGGGATTTGAAGACAAAGGTCTCTTGTATAGCAGGGAAAGGAGGAACACACTTTCACCTTGAGTATACACTGGAAACATGGAGATTTCTATCCATGTTCCAGAGACCAAGAAATGCACGTTTCCCCAAGGAATTGCTATTAGGGAAATTTCATGAGCTACCAGCATTGTTCAGAACTGTGTAGTATTTTACATACTCATATTTTAAATCGTCAGCTCTTTCCATTGCCCTGTGACGGAAAAGAGCTTTCCCTGCTTCAAGATCATTTGGCAAAAGGAACAACAATGGTCCTATCCCATACCATGTAGAAACTCCAAAAATCCAAAAAGCAGAAACACTGGTTCTTGGAAAAAAACAAAGAGAATAAGACTGATTACTGCTGAAGATTACTGGATGCAAAGGCATGCAAAGCAAGACAGAGTCCTAAAAACTGTATTTTCTTTCCACTATTAGAAAGCCAAAGTTCAGGTGAACCTACAAAGATTGGTCCTTTACAAACGTTTAGCTAGATCACACTGTGCAACCAGCCCTGAAGCAGTCACTACAAGAAAGTCTCTTGCTTAGAATGCAGTCAGGTTGCCTCTATTTGATAGGCATAGCCACAGCACCAGTTGTTTCAGCTCAGTGCCTTTGAACGTAATATTCATAGCTTTAGTGGGAGAAAGCAATTTTGGGACTCAAGTACATAGCCATCATAATGACAGATGAATGATAAAAGTAAGTATTTTAGCAAGTGTCTATACTTAAAGAACATCTTTGATTTTAAGGCAACTGGAGCTTTGCTATTTATTGCTTGCCATTTCCAAAGAAACGTCCTCTGCCAGTAAAAGTTGATATAACAGTACTCCTGCACCTTTGAGATCCCAAAATACACTCGTTTCCTCCATCTGTAAATATACTGGCTATAGGCAGCAGCCTGGGTTCTGAATTGCTTCATATAACATATAACATTTTCCAGGTCAGACGTTAACAAGGCATACATAACATCTTGAAAGCTTGTCTTACTCGCCTGCTTCCATAATCTAATACGACAGTGTTTCTTTCAGGCTTCTGTCAAGTAAAACATCTGACGCTACATGTGTTGCACAAAACACGTTATAGCACTGTAGCCTCTGGCACAGAGATTTCCACTTGTGCAATGACAACTGATTCCAGTTATCGCCAAGGAAGAATTCTTTTCAGATGGTTACAGAAGTTTCCTGCATTCGCTTCAAGCATTTCTGCCACTTTAAAGATTGTTTTTTATGCGCTCTAACGAAATAGTATTTCTTTGTGACAAAAGTCATTTAGAATACACAGTCACATACTTGGATGTAAGAAATACAACAGTTCCTCTTTGTTATTTCATATTATGGAGAGACATAAGTCCTAGACCATAAAGAAAATACTAGTTCCTCAAAGACTCCATTTTAAAATGTAAACTTGGAGTATACAATGCCAGAGCCAGGATAATTTTTCAGGGAACCTTAAGATGTTGCATCTTCATTTCCAAGTTAGATCCTGGATGCTGCCTAAACAGTTCCACTTAAGAAATAATCATCTTACGGAAGAATGAAATTGCCTAAATACACTACATTGTTTCGCTAACCTTTATATCTTCAGGGTGATTTGTGACCTTGCAGGTATGAGCAGGTACGAGTGAGTGGAATGAAGACAGACACGTTCGAGGAAAAACACACACATACGTTTCAGTTCTTACTTGGTAAACGCTGTTCATATGAACCTCTGCCTGTATCTTCCAACAAATATGGCATTGGATCATTTTGATGGTCACCTGTCAAATAAGGCCAGGCACATTTCCCACCTAAACAGACCCTTTTTTAAGCGTATTTATTTTAAAATGAAATTTGCTTCTTTTTACCTAATTTAAACTGGAGTTCCAACAGGCTCGGTTTCTATTATATTGTGCTGAATTTAGGAAATATGGCATTAACTTTCCTAAAACCTATACTTGGTTTCAGCAATTACCTCTGCTGAACAATGCTACCAGAAAATTAATAGGGGGAGCAGGAAGAGAATTACTGTGCAAACTTCATCTTTCTGTCATTGAGTATCAGCCAATAGGCATTGGCTGGCTGACTTCAAAAAGAACAAGATAAGTCCCCACAACCTTAACTCTCTTGCATGATTCAAATGCAGGTATGCCAATGCCGAGCCGGTAAAATTATATATAGGATCATGAAAGTGGAACTTGGTGAACAGTGATTAGCTGTGACACAGAAAAGCCAATCCTAAAACATTTCCTCACTTGTGCAGTCTTGGGGGCATACAGCTGGATCTCTGCTCTCAATCACATCACAGATGCCATCCGGACAAGTCTTGATACTCGGTGTGCACGTGGAATAGTTTGTAGTGATTCCTGTTAACACAGAAACAGCCAGTTGCACAAATATCACAAGGCTCTGAAGAAATGCTTATTGAATTCTCAGTGCTTGCTGATACACCGAAGCACAGGTCTCTCTAAAATAAACATCCATGGGCTTTATCTATAAATACTTTACCATTTGCTACAATAGCAGACAAGACAATAGCTAAAAGAAACTGAGAAGAACGTACTTTTCACTGTGATTTCTGCTTTGTGCCTTTGACAGCCCTTTAGGCATGTCACTTGGAATTACAATGAATATTACTCGAAAAATAGCTAGCAGGCCATTTTGAGAATACGAGTGGCTTTCGCAACTGAGGATATCTCCACACAATTTCACACGTATTTGAATATGAAGGTTACAGGTAGCTGAAGAGAATTTGTGATACTCATGCAGATTGAAGGGATAAGGCATCAACACAGAAGCATTGCTCTGGAACAGTCAAGGGTGCCATCACCCATTAGATCTGTGTTACAGGCCACCAAAAACAGAGAGACTACTTCTGTGCTAACTCTATCTGCCCAGTCATATCTGCTCACAGGCTTATTGGTATGCTTCAAACTCAATTCGTGTTTGCAGAGATTATCACTGCATGCTGTAAGCCATTCCTTCCAGTTACGATGGTACAAACCCAATAACAGGGAATTTAGTATCTTGTATTGTATGTATTGTATTCAACGTCACCAGGGACAAGATTAAGAATGACCATTCCCACTTCCTAGTGAAGATTTCCTTTGGGTATCGTCACTACTTTTTTTTCAACTACAGCTTCTGTGTAGTTTACAATACCATGTTGTCCAGCTGGAATAAATAGGTGCATGTCCACCAAAGTCAAAAGTGCAATAATGGCTAAATAGAAGTTTGGTTTCACACAACAGAAACATACCTTTTCCACTCCCCTGTCTCCACTGACATCTTCCTGTCAACACTCCCAGGCCACCACACTCTTCACATTCAGCATGGTGCTTACTCACAGCACAAGAGTCAGGGCAGTCCTCCTCTTTTTTTAACACTGTTGGGAAGAGGGTATGCTGTCAGTACAGTACAGGGGAGGTGAATACACATGCAAGTCAGCTCAAGTCAGAAGAACAAAATCCTTTCTTGGGAAGGGATAGGAAAGAAGAAAAGAGAAAGGAAAAGTGCACAACCATGAATAAACTTAGAAAACAATTGAAGAAAAGTCTAGATGTTTTTCGCCTGTGAAATAAAAGATCAGCAGTATGACCACAATAGCACTGTTATCTCCGCTTGATGGCAGGCTGTCAATACCTGGAACGGTAGAAATATACTAACAGATTAATAACAAAAGGAAAGGGAATCCAGGTACTTATTGCTTTGTACAAAAACTTATAATTTAAGGGAAAAATTTAGTACACGGGCCACTTGGCAACAGAGCTATGATGTGATGCAAGGGAGCTGAAGCAACTACCAGGTAGAATTTTAAGATTCTGCACAAAGTGCAGTTTGATTTGGGAAGAAAGGATTATAAGTTTCTAGTGTAATCCTCCTCTGCCATGGTTCTTACAGAATTTCTTATATTTTGCTCTCGTGAACTTTTCCGTAAAATGAAGTCAGTGCAAGTGCTACACGAACGTTGAGCAAAATTTTTTTTTAAGTAACAACGGGGGGAAAAAGTGATGAGAAAAAGATTGCTGAATAAATATATTTAGGTAGAAGAACTGTGGTTTCGTATATATTCTTCCATAAGAATACGTGAAATACAAAATAAAGGACACACACAACAATATTCTTCTAAATCAAATGTCATCATGAACATTAGAGGAATTGTACATGATCCACCAGCTTTACGTACATTAGTTATTCAAACAAATATCTACTGCAGATAAGTCTGACTCAAAACTCCAAATGAAAACACTGACTCTGGGTCTGTATCTTGTAGCTCAGGCTCATTTTCATTGCTATCATCATCAAGTTCATAGATCACCCTACTAACGCACCACCTAATACTGGTAACACTTGTAAGCAAGTAAATTGTTCTAATTGACGCAGATACTTACGAGTTCCTTCCAACACAACAGTGAGAAGGGTTTTGGCATGTTTCCTGCTCTGCCTGTCCGTAGCTTGAATAGTGTATTGTATTTCCTTGCATTCAGGTCTGCGTAGCACAGAGGAATCATTCACATAAAGGCTTCCATATTTGTCTTCTCGGCCTTGAAGTATGCTGACAGCATAGCAGCTTACATTGGGGGACAGTAACTTGTAGGTGATGTTCACACCACAGAATTTCATACAGTTTTCAATGCAGATTTTTCCTATCTAGGCTCAAACACCAACAAAGAAATCACAAACAACAGAAACAAAACTATACAACAAAAACACTCTGTGCTTCTCAAAAGTATCCTAAAGAAAACTGAGTAATGCTCAGCTTGCAGAGATCACATGATATGCTATTTTACCACCAATATAGTACCTGAATGCTTCAAATGTGACTTATTCTCAGTAAAACTGAGAGGTAAAGTAGTAGCATTGTCTTCAGGTAACAGTGCAGACATCAAAAGCCATGACCGGAGACTCGGTGATATTCAGGTGCCCACTGCTGATAGTAAGCAATAGCAGTTGGAACACAGTCTTATGATTTGGGAAAATGTGGGCTCAGTCCCTGCTCTGTCCCAGGCTAATCCATGAGAAAAGCTTTGCTGAGAAAGCAAACAGTTCAGTGTGTACAAAAGGGAGACTCTTTTCAATAAGATAGAAATGGAAAATGCAAATACCTATGTTCCACAGTATTATAGTCAAAAGTTTCTGGCCAACACAGTTCTCAGAAAGCCTTAAAAGAAATGAGAACCTCAGTGTCTCCCACAGGCATTTGCATCTAAAAATGAAAATAATGTGCGGACTTGCCATATATGAGCATCCAGCTGCCAGAAAATCTATGCTAGAGCACTTCCCAGTCTGAAAATGTTTATCTAAGCAGCACAGGAATGTAAGGCCCTGACTCCTGTCCAGCTCCTATACGAACTCATCCAAAGCTCACTTTGCTTTTTCCATTTGCTAGAGTGGGATTCGGATCAGGTCCAGAGGCACTGGCTTTCCTTATGGGGAAAATCGTAATGGGAAGGGTGGGGTGTTATTTAAGGGGATTTGGTGGTGGATTCTTTTCAAATGCTGCAGTTAAGAGGTCTTTCCAAGTAACATCACTGCTAATAAAAGCATATCTGTACATTTTAGTTTTAGCATTTTTATTAAGGAATGTAAAAAAAAAAAAAGTTTTCTGTATTAAGCCTTCTTCCTATGGACTTGGACTATTTAAAGTCAGGAGGAGCTTCTTGCAGTTATAGAAACATCCTTTGTCCCATCATAGGCCCAATTCATCTAATTTATTCCTATTCACATCACTGGCTGGTCACCTGGCACCATGTGTTTTTTGTGTCAGGATAGCACATAGAGATAACTAACGCCATCAGAAGCTAGGCCTTTTCTGGTATTTAGCTTTGGGGCTATCTCTTCTCCACAGCACTCCGGGACTGGCAGGAAGAAAAAGTAGTAAATAAAAGATGGCAATTGTTCATAAACTCTTGTCTCAACACAAGAAAAGTAAGGTCCCTTCCAGAACCGAGTCATCTTAGCCTCGGTGTTGCATTGCAACTGACAGTGTCTTGCAGCTCTTGGCTTCTTCGATGCAGTAAGAGAATATAATGACGTCCCATGTCACGTTAACCACTGACATAGACTAGACTGAGACTATCCTCTGTCACTGTCTACTCTGTCCTACCTGCTTTTTCCAGGCAGCCTTTCGATCAACAAAAATTCTCTGCAAAGGGGATGGGGAAGACCATGGGAACTGGGAGTTCCTGAGCAGCAGATTATCCTTAGTGTAGAGCATATGTCAGTTTTGCTTTCATCTGTATCATTTACGGAGAAGCTAAAAATGCCCCTCTCAAGTAGTTTGTACAGGAAAGATAAGCTTTCTCTTTTTGCTCAGTTCCATTAGGAAATGCCAAATACTGTAACTTTGTTCTGTACCGCAGGTTCGGGAAACAGCACAGATCTCAAACGCAGGGGAGCATAGCCTCATAGGAACGCGGCAGAAAGCCAGTTCCTCCTTCTCATCGAGGAGGGTAGAAAATAGCATAGTAATCAGGACTGACATTAACATAAAGAACCAGCAAAGATGCATTTTGCAAGACACCCAATATTTAACACAGAAATATGATTATCAGAAACAGGAACAGAAAAATTCATCTTGTCAGCTCCAGAGTTTAATAAAGTCTGGATAATGATAATGTTCCTCTTCACTGAATTCCAGAGGCATTTGGACATCTAACCTCTTTAAAAATCTCAGCCTATATCATCCAGCATTTGTCTCAGGAAATGTCAGTAGGGGTCTAAGTCCTTTGATAAGTTAAATGCCACTGGGTGAGCCTGCACCGTCAGACCATGCTTCTGTTATTCAATTCATTTAGCTGCTCAAACAGACAAATGGCATCAGCCCAGCAGTTAATCATTTCTTCACACTCCTGTATTTTCCTTAGGGCAAGAGCCAGTTCAGCATTCATATTGATTTGGCCCTGTGCTTTTTCCTCGCTGCTCTGGCACATCATAGCTAATTATGCAGAAGACTTTAATAACAAGGAGTGCTGGGGCCTGGGCTGCTTGCATTGACTTGTGCTCCGGTCAGACCGCACTGAAATTCAAATTCAGTCTCAGAAATAAGTGGATGACACCTTAATTGATCAAGAAAATCATCTCCAGAGCGAGGATGAGTTTTGCATTTCCTTGGTTGAGAATAAGAACAAAATCTCTTGGTGATTTTGCATTTAGGCAGCGTAGAAAGAGATCTCTTCCCACAGGCTTGGAGCTCTTCGTGTAAGTTCTTCCCTGCTACTACTGCCACCCAGTGAAACTACACAGTTACTGTAAAACAAGCAGCATTATTTCCAGAAACCCTAAACTCCATTTCAAATGTTTGATTGTCCTAACAAAATGCAAAAATGGCAGCTTTAAAGCATTAACTTTTGGTTTTCCAGTCTGGAATGAGAAAATCGTGTACATCTAGACTTCAGATGCATGCGTGGAGACAATCTAGGGTATGCACCACGTAAACACGGCTTAACCGAATTTGGACAACAGAGAATTCATATTATTATTATTATATGCACTCACACACATGCATAAAATGTATGTATGTGTATAAATGTATAGACATATACACACACACAAATTCTACTAATTCATACATACTTTTATGTACACCCAATAGTCAAGTTTCCACATTTTTTACAATTAGTTCCTGGTCACTTGATGACATACATACAGCCAGGGCCCATTTCTAGATGTTAAGAGTTAGACTGTGAGTGCCTTGCACATCCAAGTTATTATTTCTATTAGAGGAAACCCACAGGTTTCACCCCACCTCCAGACAAGAGTTTTCTACAGCACTGAGAATAAAGTATTCATAATCTGGTGCTACAAAAAAAAAAAAAAAAATCTAATGCTGAAAGTAGTGTTTGTCTGCACAAACAGCACAGATAATGTTCTGAAGCTTCTAACGAACTGATGTCTGCAAATTTAGAAGTTGCAGCAACAAGGAATCACACCAGGATGAAAATGACATAGCTTCTTGCAGGTAGTCCACTGTTTGAGCTCACTGGATATCCTTCTCTTATTTAGGATATTCAGTGCAGACTGTGGGTAAAATGACCCTTGACTGAGCAGTGGCATTTAATTGGTTATGCAGGGCCTGTTCTGTACTCTCAAGAGCTATCAGTCTATAGTACATTTCATCATATTAAATACAAGACCATGGAATACATCTTTCCTTTTTCTTTCTTTTTCTTGATCAACCAGAGGCTTAGAGATGAGTAAAATACAATTTCTTCTTAAAAGATGTATAATGAATTGGTCTTCTCTGCAATCGGGTTGATCAAATTTTAGTATCAATCCTTTTCTGTGCTATAAATACAGCAGCAGCCTTATAGCTCTATTTAGTTATGAAGTGTACATTCCAGCAGCTCCCCTCAAATGCCTCGTGACTGATTTTTTAAATTTTCACTCTCATAACATTAATTATCTTGAACTAGTTGCCTATTAATGTGCATGTTCCATAAGAATTACATTGCAATTTTCACCTGATTAATGTCAACCTGTTGGAAAGTGTTTCTGGAAGGCATTATTAATGGCAATGATGGTGATTAAGCTAAAATGAGGGTTAAATTAGGAAACACATTAATTACTAACTAACCATTATCTAGGGAAAAGCTATTAACATACTGGAATGTGTAGAGCTGGGACTTCAATAGCTGGGACAAATTCTTTTTTTGCCCTTGATTTTTCTTCCAGTTATTTATACCTAAGCTGCTGAAGGCTGCAAGTCCCTCTCTTTTCCTCTCTACTAATACTTCCGTGTGTGGCCTCCCTTCTGTGATTATATGATGGGAGAGGCTAGTGTCCAGTCTACCTGGAATCCTTTGTGGCTACATCCAGCAAAACAGTTATGCTGATGTCACATTTTTCATTTATTCTACTTAATATAGCTCAATCCAAAGCTTTATCCATAAGCATATCGGAGAAAACATTCGTGTCTGTTTAATTTGTAACTTCTTTAGGGCAGGGACTGTCTCCTACTCTGTGTTTGTGCAACGATGCACATGGAAGCTCTGATGCATAAAAATAACATCACTGCTTAGATTTTCTGTAAGGCTTTTCTTTAGTAGATCTTTAAGCAATTTAAAGAGGAGAACATAACAAAGTTTTACAGAGGAGCCCGAGTACACAAGACAGACTGATTTGCTGGCCAACGTCAGAATCAAGGAACAGAACCTACACTTCCTAGACCTCACTGTGGTGAGGTCTGTCTCTGACAAAACCTACTAGCTCACAAGATCTACTAGCTCTGTCTCTAACAAAAAGTAAAAGTATAATTAACACAGTTCTTACTTGTGCAAAACGTTCAGCATTTCTGTTCACTGTGAACTGGTAAGTCACGTTTGGAAACTGAATGCTGACAGGGAGGATGGAGACATTGAAGTGAAGCATCACCGATCTTTCTGGACCATGATATTCTGTGTCATTCACCAAAACATCCAATTGGAAGGAACGATGCTCTGTGACTGAAATACTTTTATTCAGTACTAGTTCTGCAAAAGAAAAGATTAGTCATATCACACACCTACATTATCTGTAAGTGCATTTTTTGATTCTGCAATTCCAACCAAATTATAAATATCAAACACTTTCCTAACGGGAAACAAAAGGAGATAGTTAACTATGAAAATATAGCTTCTACACAATTATACTGTGTACCATTCAAGATGTTGTGTACCATTCAAGATGTTTGAAGATATGTTCTTCCCTTCTTATTACTGTTCTGAGGATTCTACAATCAGAACCTCTTGCTTATTGGTACACAAAACATCATCCCATACAGTCCCTATCTTAGGGATGCACAAACTCCATTTTTTCATTGTATGTTTAAAATTCACTGTTCTGCTATTGTGAAATTGCTCAGTTTTCTTCTAATCAGTATTTATATAATGCTTGGAAATGCAAAATGATTATTGATCGACTATTAACAAGAAACTTCTCCTTTATTTAAAGGAGGAGACCTTACTGTATTCATGTAGAGTTCCCCTCACTTGGCTGCCATTTGGACTGAAGTGGATTTCATGGAAGATGTGCTCCACCCGAAATGTTTCGTTTATCCATGGATCATTTGTAATGATGGTTCCTGTGTATTTCTTTCTGCTACTTTCAAGGGGATAAATAGGCGTGGTGTCTGCATCACACACAGTTAGCATTGCGAGGACAGTTCCCTGGAAGGAAATCATAAATAACATTGCTGAATGACCTTGAAGCTTTCTTCCTCTGATACATGATTGCAGGATTAACATATTGATCTGTAAGCCTTCTAAACTTTCATTCAAGTCCACTTTGATTCAAATTCTTTTTAAGCTTCAGGATACCACAATTTCACACCCATTTGGGCCTGCACAATATTTGTAGCAGCATTTTAGAAAGACAGTTATTTGTCCCATTCACTTTCAGCGCTTAAGCAGAGACAGCTTACCCAGCCTCAACATCAGCTTGTAGATACAACAGTCTCCAGCTAATGCAGTTTAAATATTGCCAAATGAGTAAATTTGTGAGGAGAGACACTCAAGCCTCAGAGCAGATTGTCTCCAGCTTGTGCAGCTAGAGTACTCTGAGTTAGCACAGTCACTTTTTTACTGATGAAACATATTTCCAAACAAATGTCTCATGACATAGACAATGCTTTTTTGGTTTAAAAAAATCAAAACAGAAGTGTTTAAAGACAGAACATACTAGCAGTGTACCCTAAATGTGATGGAGATTTTGCTTAGGTCATTGCAACTAGAAGAGTATTGCCTAGGAAGGGAATGCAGGGGCTCTAGTTGCTGTTTTGCATCAAGTCCATCACTTTACAGCTCCCAATCCTATACGTACGTGGTAACAAGACTATATCCACCAGAAATTGAGGGTCCTGTCAGTCAGGTATATAGGATAGACAGGTACACATGCTAATGAACCTCCCACCAGAGAATCCTTAACTACTTATACACAGGTGACAAAGAGTTAGAAGTCTCAAAGGAAAATGGCAATCACCAATGTAGCAGTGAAAAAGACCTTGTTATATAATCATTTCTGTCCATGTCCAAATACAATGCTTAACTTTAGAGGTGCAAAATGAGTTCACATGCAGCTCTTGCTTTTTTTTTTTCTTTTTTAAAATCAATAATATTCTGCAACACTACTAACAAAGCAGGTTAGTAACATGTGTAATTAAAAGACAACGAAGCACCTTTAGACAAGTCAGACTCATTACCCGACCCAGCACTGAGTAAGTGACACAGGTGGCCTGGGTTGTCTGTCTTCTGCTTATTCTACTAGACTGCTGTTCTCCAGCTGGACACTGAAACCATCAGGCCTTTAAGATTTTTATTAACATTAATTCTGCTGTTTCAAGCTTATCTAGTTACTAGAAAAGATTGAAAGTTTCCAAACATAATGCTTACTTTCACTGCAAAACACCAGTGAAATTCACTAAATTATGAATGCTTTGTGGGCACAAAATTTCAGAGAGAAATGATCAAGGTTTAAAAATTTCATTTAAGCTTTATCATCTCAATTGCATGCAAAAACATCTCAAATCAAAATAAAGCAATTAGATTACTTTTCTTTATAGGACACTTTTATGAGACTTTCCCCTCCTCTCATTCAGAGCTAAATGAAATTCACAAGTTTCAAAATTTCTGAAAGGAAAAAGGAGTTACTTTATACCCTGACAAATGTGTTCACAGGTGTCTTGTCAATGCTTGTCTGCAGGTGGCAGCAAACTCCCCAAATCATACCTCTCCCTACCAAATACAGCATGAGCAAAAAGGGAAAACTGACTGCAAAAAAGTACCGCTGCTATGAAACAGAAGTGCTCTCATAAAAGATGTATAATTTAGGCCCATAAAGATGTGCCTTAACTATAACCTGACTTATTAAGGGTTGGTGCTGAGGGGTGAAGAGCTGGAGAGCCGAGCTGCAGACTTCTCTGCTGGGGCAAGGGGCGCGCGTGTGCAGGGGGCGCGCACAAAGGCATCCAGAGGTTTAGACCTCTTCAAAGATCACCTCGGCGTACTAAGGGAAAAGTGGGAGGTCACCTGCAAAGCAAGGTCCTAAAAATTTCCCTTAATGGCTTGAACCTGAAAACATTAAGTGAATTCTGCATAATCCATCATTTTGACTGGTTTCTGAAAAGGAATAGTACTACAATAGAAAACTCGTATTTGAAGAAAACTTCTCTTTCAGGATTTTTGGCTAGCTTTGTTTCAGTGTTTTGCTTCCCTGAGTGTTGTCGAGAGTGCCTGGAATAGCAGAGAGAAGCTGCTTCTGTTGACTTATAAATCAAAGTAACTGTCTCTGTACACGAGTTTAGGTAACAAAGGAAGCTTGTAGCACCCATATTTTTAGACTGCTTAAGATTCTACATAAATGAAAATGAACCCTTACAATCTTTCCTTTGCATCAGTGTGTTGCTGGGGCTGGCGGCTGCCTGCCTGGCAGTGGTGGGGGCTCCCGGTGGTGCAGGGCTAGGCTTCGCTGCCAGGGCCTGTCCCACAGCTGGGGCAACCCCAGCCCGGGCATCGGGCACCTTGGTGGGGGTGAGCTGAGGCCAGGCAGGGCTGTTGCAGGGCTGGAGCCAGGCAGCACTGCAGGGCCAGGACTGACAGCCCCAGGCTGGGCTGGGATGGGGGGAGGCCTGGAGGAAAGAGGTTCCCGGGGAGGGCCAGTAAGAGCTCATGGTGCCCTCAGGGCCCTGATGCTTTGAGAAGCTCTTATATCGCTTTGGGCTTTGATAATCTTGCTTTCTCTCCATTCTGTATATGTTTTGTGATCAGGTCTTTAATAACAAAATTGCATACTATTTTTTCTACCAAATATATTCCTCGTATAACACATGAGATAGAAGTGTGCATACACAGAATTAAGGCTGCAGAGACAGCTGCCTCTCATAACTTCCTATTACTGGTGCAGCATCCTAATAAATGTTTGTAATGTATTTCTGATATCTTATATAGATTCTTATATATAGGAAGAATACATACATACATCTGGTCAATAACACTCAATTTCTGGTCACCTAGTGGAAGCAATCCTGAATAAATCCAGAGCAGAATTCAGTCCTGCAAGATACAATGATCCCTGCTGGGATATCAGCAGGGGTCTGTCCTGATCTGAGGAAATGCTCACTTTTTTTTTTGCACTGTTTACTTCCTGACCTAAACTCTTGTCTATTTGGGATGTAAATAGATAGAACTGAGGAAAAAAAAAAAATCTTTTTATTCTACACACTCAGCACAGTACAAACACAGCTTTGAAGAGTAGTGGTATGATCATAAGTTTGATGTCGAAATTCGTTATACAGAACGTAGTTTCCCAGTACACGTGCCTCCCACTGCTGTGTTCCTACATCAGAGACTAGATAAAGAACATTACCTCTTTTCTGTTGAACTCCACAACAGCATCTGCAGTATTAGTGCCATTGGGAAGGAAGGGAGCAGAGTCATCTTCATCTAACACATTCACCAGGAAGGGCACCTCAACCTGCATTTCTCTGAAGCCCTCTCTCACGGTACATTTGGCAATCAGTTCATATCTCTCTCTTTCTTCTCGATCTAGACGCTGTATCACACTCACCCCCGTGGTGTTCTCATTGTACCGAAATGGCAGACCTTCAGCTGAAAAACACAGTCATAGCATAAACAGGGACAATCACTTCCAATTATAGGACTCTGGGACCAATTTTCTTCTTTAATGTTCTTTTGCAGTCCAGTAAATCCAACTGGACATAGCTATTACAGCTTAGAAAAGACGGCCATGACTGCATGATAAAAGGCAGACTCAGAAGCGAAATGGAAGAAAGTGGTAGAGCTATAGTAGGGTAGGCAAAAAACATATGGAACTGATAAAAAGATCCTACAATTTAGAAGAAGCACAATTTAAAGCTCAGGACATTGCCAACCTGCCCTTGCCAGGTACAACTTGTAAAATCAATCTTCTCCTCAGGGAGGAAGGTAGTCTTCCTTCCCATCCTCTCTGTATATCTCAAAGGCAAAATCTTCAGGCTCTGCTCACACTTACAATGGGATTTCCTTGTATATGATCAATTTAAAGCATCTACTACAAGAGAGATCTTAACAGTGCAGCTGTTTACAAATATTGCTGGTACCTGAGTGCTCGTTTTCAGTCCCATTTTACCTGCTAGAAGTTTGTAGGAAACACTGACATTCTGACACAGATGATGAACTGAGGGTAGCTGGAGCTGATGAAACGTGCCAGGTGGTTTATTCTCCTTGATATGAAAGGAAAGATCCATTTCTGTGAAGCAAAGTTGCCTTGCTGTCAGGGTGCTGCACGCTGGTGCAGTAGCATTGATCAAGGAGAGGTATACTGTGGCACGAGTAGCAGAGTCACATTCCTTCTCTTGGAAAGGGTGGGATGAAAGGAAGACATACAGCATCACTTTTGATAATGACATCCAATTTCCTACAGCTACAAAAGCGAAAAAAAAAACAGAGCAAAGGAAATATTTGACAGAAGACTAGCAAAGATTTCTTCTACACATTTCATGGTTTAGTTCGTTATTCCACAAACAGCCACATAGTTCTATTATGTAATAAAACAACTCTTGAGTACATCGCTTACTGACTGGAAGACTTTAAATCTTAATAACCTCAATAAGCCAAAATATAGGTGTTACCACCCAATTTTACGTTGTAGAATCCCACTGAACAACGCCCATGTTCTGTCTGTAGGACACTGACATAAAACAGGTCACTATTAGTAATCAGCTTTTTGACAGGACTGTTCTTGGATGGACTAGAGGAGAGTGGGGTGGCAGGAGGAAAAGAAGAGTGAGTGAAATAGCAACCAGGATCCCAGCATCCAGGATACACTCACAACAACTATTAGCTGTCTTTTAAGTCATATCATTCTGACAATTTATACCAGTTGAGAACATGTGGCAAACTGTATAGGACACACTGTTGCATCACTTTAAAATATAAAGAGTTGGCAAAAGATAACACAGAAGCTAAAATCAGCTTGTGGCATCTAGTAAGACATCCTCAAGTCCAAATTGATTTCATTATCTTAGTTCAACTACAGACAGAATGATAGTATCACTGAGACAGATCTAATTCACTTGAAAAGACTCTCTAGGTCACTTTGAGCCATATTTAAAAAAAAAAAAAAAAAAAAAACTTAAGACACTCAAGTTGTGGATAGCCATTCTTCCTGTGTTCAATTACAAATAGCTATCATATTCATGATTCATGAATTTCAAGTACCAACAAATACAGTGAAAATGGGTAAGATAGCGAGCATTTAAACTCTTAAAAACTAAAGCAGTAAGTGCCTGAATTTGAACATTTAAGCATTGTGGAACCTAAGTCAAAGGACAGTGTTGATATATGGCCCTTACAAACTCCACAGATACTACAGACTCTCTTAGAGCAGAAATTCTGCAACTGATCGCAGTGGTATGCCATTAACTTCTCACCCATTTCCTCCTCCACCACCTAATGATATTTAATTTCCTCATAGATCAAAATCACCAAAATCAATTTACTGCTAGAGCATAAAAGAGGGAAAAAATTGAGATAATTCACTTCTGTAGTTCAATAGTAAGGTTTTTTTTAAAGCTAAATCTCAAGAGATAAAGAGAGGTACACTTAACCATTTCTTCCAAGAACTGTTCAGTGTTACATGCAAACATATTTTGTGAGTCCATGTTGCCAGAGTTCAAGGACCTGATGAGAGTTTGAACCAATTTAAATATCTTGATCTGGCTGCTAAACCCCCAACATTACCACAGTGGAACTGGCTTCATTTGGATCCGGCAAATCCTAATGTGAAGCTGCGACTTACTAGAGCTGTGGATGACAGAAAATTTATTTCAAGTAGTACAACTTTCCTGCTATATTAGAGTCAACAACAAGAGTGGCAGGATCTGACCCAGTTTAGCATTTACTTTGGCATATGACCCCCTGCATTCACAGTTGGCTTTGCCGGGTCTGGCTCCTCTTTTAAAACAACACAGACGGTTTTTCCAAATTTGATGCTCACATGCTGCTGGATAAATCTCACGATTTGAACATACTTTGCTTTAACGAGAGATACTTCAACAAGAGCAGCTAGTCTTCTCATACTTACACAGCATATTAAAGTCTTCTCTGTCTAGGCTCTTGCTGAGGTACAGAAGTCCTGTTTTTTCTCTGATTTGAAACCAATGGTTTTCATGGGATCTTGCTCGAGAAATGATGAGATTCTGGCACAGATGGAAGTGGGCCGCTTCCCCGTGTGAATCCCTCAAGGCATGGATGTGCAGGAGTGGCGTACCAGCTGCCTGATCAATGTAGACATTCTCCGAGTACTCTTTCCTGGGGAAGTACAGACCAAAGGCAGCTGCAAAGGAAGCCACACAACAGGAGAGTTGCTCCCAGTTAAGAAAATGTCAATGCAAAACTCACTTAAGAGATGCATTTCCAAAGAACTGCAAGCTTCATTTTGTAAGTGCACTAAAGACGACATCAAAAAAGGCAGATCCTCATCCAGCATAAATCAGTATGGTTTTACTGCATTCAGTGCAGAGAGATAGCCATCACAAATTTGGCCCATTTTATGTTCAAGTTACAAAATCTCCTATGTTTTGGAAGTAGAACTGCTTTACCATAAACATGGCAACAGCTGAAGCAGAATGCTTAATGAAGCTCCGCTTGCCGGATTTTACTCAAGTTAATGTCTGCAACCGTCAGCTGTTCTTCCATTATCTCACAGATTATATTCAGAGAAGAAGAACTCTACGATGAAATCACACGCTTTCAAAACCTAAAAACACTTTCCATTCAGAGAAAACATAGAAATGTATCAATGGTTCTCAAACATTGTACTGGATTACATAGAACCTCTCTTAAATACAAATTCTTTTGTGGCTCCCTCTCTTTCTAAGTAGGCCAACCTGATACTTTCAGTACAGAAAATAGGAGTTGTTTACATAAAATTAATATTATAGTCCTGTAAGTCCTTTACATTTTAGAGATGGGGGAGCTCAGAACTGATGTGCCTGAGCAAGGCAGGGAAAAGCACATGTATTTTTAACACAACGGCTAAGACTGACCCATTAATATTCTGTGATTTTTTTTCCTCTCTCCCATTGCAGACATTTACTTTGAGTAAGACTCAACTGGCCCTTAATGCCTGTCATTTCAGATACTCTCATCTTATCAGGTCACTTTGCGTTTGCTTCTCTACTTCTTTCCTACACCTCTCGTCCAATTCTACTACTTGCAAGTCTGATCACAGTGGAACAGCTGATATTCAATGAAGGAACAGGCAGTAAAAGCACGCACAAAAACACAGTGCAAGCAGTCTGACTGAGCTGTCAGAAACAGTAGCAAGCCTGGCAGAGCCCTGCATTGCGTTATCACCACCAAACAGGACCGCCCTTCAAAATTAAAAAAAAAAAAACAGCATTGCTGCAAAGAAGGCCCACAGATTAAAAATAAGTAAGGTTTGGGTGGGATTTTCAGAAATACAAGAGATAGGCCAACATCTGTACCCACTGCAGCTGACTGAGCAAGGTTTAGCATCTTCCTTGGGTGCACAGGCAGGCCACTAATGGAACGCATCTCAGTGAAATCTCACTTGAAACATATGTACACAGGGAGACTCATTGATATGTGCCATGCGCTCTGAGATACTGGAACAGACTGTCGCTCTTGTTCGTCGTCTGCATTGACAGCCAGCACTTGCTCCCACACAACAGAACACTTGCATTTTGCAGAATTTTGCATCATTTTCTCTGATATGATAAAGTGTAAGGCATAAAAAAGGTTCACACATCTGCTGAACAAATGTAAATAAAAACAATTTCCATATATTATTAACAGAAGACTATCTTAGCTAAAATAAAGCCAGATACAACTGGAAATGACGATAATACAGCAATAAAATGGGGGATATAATGCCAAAACCGCTTCAAAATAGCATCAGGCTATGGCATTTGTTTCATATTATTATTATTGGATACATGCACTATTCTGCAGAAGGGAGAAGACCACAAACAAACTGTAAACAAGAGACCTCTAATTTCATTTGGAAATACCACAGAAGCCACTGTACCTTGAAATGACTCATGACATCATCAGTATTCTTGGATGCAATTATATCCATATGATTTACAGCTGCCCATTGCTTGTTTTACATGTACTTTGCAATATACAAATAAAGTGCGAAAGTAAAACAATAAGTGAATTTTCTCCAAACTAATTAACTCAAAGAGAAGCCAACAACCATCTCCTATTTAAGAGTTTTAGAAAAGCAATTTGACCAGTGACTTCTGAAGGTTTTCCCCCCTACCTGAAGAAAACTTACTTGATTCCTGTCTCATCACCATCTTGTTCACAAGTTAGATTCTTGAATTTCAAACCTGTTTCCAGTTACACATCCTGTTAAGAGAATCTCATTCCAACTGCCTTTTTTAAAGTGTAGGAAAAGTTATGGAAACTGTACCACTAGAAATCCTAAGAAACAGGTTCATTAATAACAAGGATAAGATGATGTCCAAACAGCAAGTCCGGCCCTAGCACAAGGGAATGGATTTTCTCAAGGTACTTTGTATAAGAACTTGAATCTAGAATTACGAAAAAGACTTATTTCCTCACAAGAAATTTGACCCTGGATATTCACTGCTCAGGACAAAAAAAAAAAAAAAATAATCACTTGTAACCCACCGATATGTACAAGTGAGTTTTATGCAACATTATCCACAGGAGGAAAATTAATTTATTTATTTGCTTATTCATAAGATTGGGGTGAACAGTTCCTAAGGTCAGTGAGGAAGGAGAGACGAGACTGTACAGCATTAAAAACACATCATGTAGTGGGTGAAAGGCCACCACAGGAGACACACAAAAGCCTTTACAATAAAAGGAGTATACAGAAAGTGGAGTACATATAAACAGTACATCCGCATAAAGGCTGAAACTGGGAAAGACAAAGAAAAAAAAATAAAGGGTATTTTAGAGTTGTAACTACTCATTTGCTTATCTTAAACAAATGCGTTAATCTTTACATGCACAAAGACACAGGTAAGATCACTGTCTGTCTGTATACTAAATGTCGACTTCATATCAGGTAGAAAGCCTTCATTGAGAAGTGCACACAGAGTCAGTCCTGCAAACACTAATGCACGTAATGGGGAACAGTGACATTGGAGTGTCTGTTTGGATCAGAACGAAGCTTTTGAAGCGAATCTCCAGAGAGGCCCCACTCACAGAGCTTTGGCTCTTGTTGCAGAACAGTCTTGGAGCACACGAACTCAGGTCTTTCTGGATTAAACCAAACCAGAAGCTACGCCCCAACCATTAACCACATTCAATCCGTGGTGCCAGAATAGAGCTAGTCTAAAGTAAAAAGCTCTGAAATGTTGACAGTGTGGCCTTCAGCTCCTCAGTGCTGGCTGCTTTGCTCTACAAATCTACTCCTCTTAGTCTGTACTACATGTTAATGTATACACCACCGTATTTAACTTTGAGCACATAAATAATTATTACGGGCAATGCAATTTAAATCTCTGGAACTCTGCAACTACATTTCAGCACAGATCAGCACCCTGACTGCTCAGCATTAGGGAGAAAAAAAAAGAGTACATATGCTGCAGAATCTTCTTGGCAATTCTTTGGCATGGGTTCACAGGCTCAATCTTCTCCATTCTCAGAAACCCCCTCAGAATTTTCACACACCATGCCGGGGAAAAAATCCTGTAACATAAAAATCTGATTTGTCCATAGATAATAGAAATGGAAAACAATGCTTTGTATTTTGAAAAAAGAGGAGGATTCCTTCACAAAATTATTTAGAAGCTGCATTGCTAATTAACCTGCAATGCCCTTCACAAATATAAAAGCCACCTTGCTAAGTAGAAGTATGCTTTTTTTCCTCCCTGATTCAACTCAAACGCTGCTCAAGTTAAATTCTGCCAGTCAGAAGCGTTAGTTTTTAGTTCAGAGGATGCTTCTGTTCAGGACAACACCTAAGGATACTGTCAAGTGACAGCAGTAGATCTTACATGCTTTCACATTTTACTTAGTTATGGAGTCAATGCCTGCAACATTTCAAAGATGGTAAAACAGCATTTCAAAAGAAGAGACATTACAACACAGTAAAATCTTAGACAGTAAAATGAATAAAATAATTAGAAAATTATAAATTTGATTCTGCCTTCCTATTGTAACAAGATTCACCCAGTGTTGCTGATCTTTAAGTTACTGGGATTTTGTAAAGTGGTCACTCTTTAATTGCATTTCAAGTACTGAAAGAGAGGTATGCAACAGACTGCCCAGGTCACCACTTCACTATGCATATAAATCTACTGAGGACGATCTTAAAGGAGACCTTTGAAGTAAAAACGTAGCACCCACTTCGCTGAGTTGCATTCATTCCTTTAAACCCTAATAAGTTAAAAATAGATTCAATAAACTTCCCATCTGGCAACTATGCTGCAGGAGGAAGAAGTTCTAATCCTGGACACAGTCTCTTGTGTCCTGCAAAAAAGAAAAAAAAAAATATCAATTTTCAAGAACTTATATAAGCTTCCTATGGAAGCCAGATGGAGCATTTATTGAATCTGCCATTTAAATAAATAGGAGTTGAGATGGTTAAGCTCAAAACTGATGGTCAAAGTGTTTTTTCCTTATGAATTAAAAGGAGAAAAATATTTCACAACCTTGAAATATACCATGAGAACGTTTGGCCCTAAAACATACACCAGTAACATGTATGTGTATACATACACACACACACACATATATACAGTAGCATTTCAGCTTCTCTGAAGTATTTCCGTAGGATTATTTATTTACTTTTGCAGAATGCTCCAGTTCTCTATTCTGTAAACAATCAGCACAGAAACATTGCAAGCTCTGATGGATTAGCAATATAACATGGTAAAAGCATATCAGTAACATACAGATGAGAAAAGTGATCACATTTAAACGGATGTAATGCAACTGACTAATAGCTCCTACAGGAAAGAGATACGGTTATGACGGCATTATTCCAAGCCAAGGAGAGAAAACAGAAAAATGAGAGTGGAGAAATGAGATTTGAAGCCTGGACATAAACAGAGCCTGTGAAACAAAGCAATTTCTCATGTGGCTTTTCTCCTTGATGAATGAATAGGTAAAAAATGACTTTTTTGATACAGAATTTTTTTTTTTGGTACAAAATACATAGTGGAAAACTGTAGTGGAAAAACATGTTTTTAATGCTTTTTATTCTTGCCACTATAGACAGGAGTTGAAAATTACAAAAACTGATTACAGCACCATTCCTCTTGTCAGCAACTATGAGGAAGAAAAATATAATTTTAACATTTTAGTCATGCCATGAAGTGGCATGAAATA